GTGTGTGTGTGTGTGTGTGTGTGTGTGTGTGTGTGTGTGTGTGTGTGTGTGTCTTAGTAGGCTGCTAGTGAAGATCTACTCTTTCTGGACTTGCTTGCTCTACCTGTCACTTTATTCTATATTGTTCTAGAGCTTTCAAATTTGGGACGTAAGTTTATATCTGTGTATGACCAGCTAGGTTAGTTAAAGGTTATCCTGTTGCCATGACTGGCTTCATTTTGTGTCTTGGAATAGTAGAGTTTTTGAAAAAAAGTATTTTGAAGACTTACTGTCATTAAGCCTCAAGTGCTTGGCAGGAGCAAGATGACCTGTGACTTTACACCTGTAGTTTTTCTTGCTCCTAGTTTTCCATCATTGCCAGTCTGTGGCACATCTCAGGGCTGTGATAAGGCTGAGAGCCTCGTCCCAGGCCTTGAAGTGCTGCATGAGTGGACATGGGCTCCTTGCCGAGGGTGCTACTGCATGTGGTAGTAGGAAGTTGGCCTGAATGGACACTGTCCCCTGCTGTTTGGTCATGGAAAGCACCCCTTCTGATTGATTAGGGCTGTGCAGGCCTCTGTCTAGAATTACTTGCTACCCCTTGTGACCAGACCCAAGGTAGTAAGATGGTCTTTGTCGCAAATGGAATATTTAAGTTGGTAGTTGACTGGTTTGATTTTGGATTCATTTCTCATTCTCTTTTTTTTCCTTGTGGTCTGTCATTGAGAATTGAACAATCAGGGCTACTTTCTGTAGCACCTTCCTGTTCAGTGTCCCTGCTCATATCATAGCAGTAGATCTTTGTACAAACAACTGGACTTGGTCCTTTAAAGACAGAGATAGGTCTGTGGCTCTTGACCCTGAAGGGTGTGGCACAGCCAAAGAGATGAGACTCCGCGTGGCCCAGGCAAGAACCAGAGTTGGTGCTTGGCAGTGGGCTAGGGAGGGAGTTATGTAGAGACAGCGATTCCTAGGCCCTCTGGCAGCTGCACAAGCAGCATGTGAGGTATATTAGCACTGGCAAAGCATCTCTCTCGACTGCAGTGGGGACAGTGTTTGAGGAGTGGGGACCCACGCAGTGTGGCGCAGGCCACAGGTATGCCAAGCACACTGGGCAGAACCAGCTCAGGCCGGGTGGGGAGGGGTAGGCGTGAATGCCTAAGGGAAGAATTTGGCGCTTTTTCTTCAAATATATGGTGTGTTGATTTAAAGCTCTTCCAGGGAATGGCTTGATCTATGTGCTGTCGTGGGAAAGCAAAGTGAGCCTAGGTATGACATGCTGAGCAGGCTAGTGTAGTTCCAGGCAGGTTGGAAGTCCGTTGTTTCTTGGTGTATTTTCCCCCTTCCTCCCTCTAGGTGGAGCTCAAGAAACAGCCTCTGGGTCAGTTTAAATTGCTTTGTGGCTGTGATGGTAGCGTGAGAAGCACTTTGAGGCCGCTTCCACATTGCTGGTGCAGTTTAGGGTTACAGAAATTGAGTACGTTTTCTCCCATTGAAAAAAGATTGAAGAGAAACTTTAAAAGGCGACATCAGTGACTGATTTAGACAAACTTTAAGGCAGTTTGGATGAACTGTTGGCCAGCAAGGATAGTCTTTCCTACTAGAACAGTTGAATGTGCTGGGTGTGTTTATTTTCCTGAAGCTTCACCTGTCACTTTGTCACCATCACTCCTGACTCATTTCGGGTGGGGTTGGCACGGTCAGGTCGCTGAATACAGGTGAATACTCCCAGCAGTGGGCACAGAAGCTTCCAGCTTTCACCTTCAGGTTGTGATAGCTCCAGCCGTGTGATCAGAAGTGCTGAGCAGATGCATGAAGGCTTCAGTCTTCTGAAACAGGAATCTCCCAGAAAGACCTTAGTTTCCTGCTCGGGTGAGATGGGGAAGCCTCAGGACTAAAGGTCTGGACCAGCTCTGGAAAATGGCTGGGCACAAGGGCTGAGGGGCCCTGTCTTGCCCTGACTTCCTGAGGGTAGCTCACAGACGCACACGATTACTCGCTCTGCTGGATGCATTCACAGGTGACCTTCCAAATGGGCCTCAGACTCTGGAGCTAGCATTGCGACTCATCATGGAACTTCAGTTGTCTATAAAATGATCTTGTCTGTGTGTATTTTTCTCAAACCCCTCCCCTTTTCCCTTTATCTTTTTCTTTTTTGGAAAAAAATTATTAGTATTTTTATTTTGGAATCTGTAATGAGCAAGTTTCTATTGCCATAGAAAAATTTGGCTAATTATTTTTTTTTCCTGATTTCCTTAGAAATCCTAAGTAATGCACTGAAGAGAGGAGAGATCATTGCAAAGCAGGGAGGAGGTAGGAAACGCTTAGTTCATTGTTTTGATTTTTAGAACAGTCTGTTATCACGGGGGAGAACAGAATACGAGTGAACATATAGTGACAACATGGGCTCTTACAGTCTGCCCAGGGTGGGAGCCACCTCTGCCTCTTCCTAGCTGTGTGACATGTGGCAAGTTACTGAACCTCTGTTTTTGTACTACTGGCCTATAAATGGGGATGGAATAGTACCTAGCTCAGAGGGTCGTTGTGAACGGAAAATGAGCCAGTGCACTGAAAGAGTACTTAACATAAGTTAGCAGTAGTACTCATGCAGGTTGGGACTTTCTTGTTTTCCATACCCTAAAATTAAACATTCCTAAAGTAAATGTTTGCTGTACCTGACTGAACCTGAAAGTACACTACCTAATACATAACAAATGCTTACTAAAATTTGCATATGTGGGAAAATCCATGGAAGTCCAAGGGGATTGTTGGGGAGGGAGGGTGGCAGAAGTGAAAGAGAAGGTAGTAGGGATGGTGGTTATGATCAAAGTACAGAATATGCTTGGATGAAAATATCACAGAGAAACTCATTATTTTGTTCAATTAATGTTGTTAATTACAATAATTAAAATGTGCACATCTACTCATTACAAAAATTCAGAAAATGCTGCAGAGAGTAGACACTACCTTCAGACTCACTACCCATTTATGAGTGTTGTAAATATTCTGGTATACACCTTGCAGGGAGTGCACACTTCTGCAGGCATTTAGAGCTCACTGCGTTTTCAGCCCATTTTCTCTTCAGGGCTGAGGGGCTGGGCATTGTCTGGTGTCCCCACTTGGTGGGCGTTTCAGGGCGCTGGTTGCAGAGCTCCATTGGGCACTCTTCTGCTGCTGTTGGCATTGGGTGCTAACCTCATTCCTGCTGCTATCAGGCAAGCACCTTTTTGTCTTATAATATGAGGAAGCTTGATAGTTTCTGAGCCATTTCCGCTCTGAAAGTAATGTTCTTAAAGTTGTGCTTATTTTTGGCCACTTTGTATGACACTAATGTTGAGCTGAGGAAATGGGCACGTGGAGGTGGGGTTCCTTATGCCAGGTCACAGCCTTAGCTATAGAAACTGCCAAGATTTTTTGTCCTGAATTTGTATTTGGATTGGGCTGCCTGGGTCAGTAGTGGATTGGCCATGGCCTGGGCAACACCTGTGTTCAGAGGTGGGAGGTTGGAGCTTGGAAGGATTTTCGAGCTCCACACAGGAAAAACAGATTCTCCCTGTGCAGAGTTGCAAAAGCCACAGGCAAAGGCATTGTTAACTGCTACTCACCTGGGCTATTCGAGTCGCCCTGCAGAGCTGTCAGCATCTTCCTTCCTGGGCCTGCAAACCTAGACACAAGTCAGTTGGCAGTGTCCCCTCTGGAGTAAGATCCCACGGAATGCCAGCTGTGTGCCTTCATACCCAGGATCTATATTGGTGTTTGTGTTTGATTTCTTTTATCTCTGCTTGATTACACGGCAGTGTAGTCTCTTCTCTATGCTCTGTAAGTGCTAAGGAAATGTAGCCAGACTGGCTACCCAGAGGGCATCCAGAGGGACAAGTCAGGAGAGGAGAAAATTTGTTGAGTGACTTTGAATTGTCTCTGTGTGTCTAAGTCACTTTCCTTATCACTAAGATACAGTACCTGACACAAATTTAAAGAGGAGAGGTTTATTTTGGCTCATGCTTTTAGTCCATAGTTGCCCAGTTTCAAGTCCCAAGGTCATGGCTGAAGGGTCTGGGTGGGAGAAACCAGCTAATAATATCATAATGGTCAGGAAACAGAAGGGAGCAAACCCTGTGCCCCCTTCCAGGTCACGCTCCCCAGTGACCATCTTTTCCAGTCAGGCCTTGCCTCCTGATGAGTCCAGTGCATTGGCTTCTCTATCCAGCCACATTCTGCCAGCCCTGCATCTGAGTGCAGGAGGCTTTGGGGGACACTTTTGGTTTAAGCCATAACACCATTTTACATTTTGTTAGCATTTGTCAACCTGTGAGGGGTTGTCTTAATGAATTACCAGTTTATTGGGCTGAATTTTTGGTATCTGGTTGAGCTTGTGAATGGAAGTGCCTAGGCGTGGCATAGTGTGCACACATTTGTGTCCTGACATTCTCGTGTTTTATGTGCCTCTTCCAGGTGGAGGTGGAGGCAGCGTCCCTGGGATTGAGAGGATGGGCCCTGGCATTGACCGCATTGGGGGTGCCGGCATGGAACGCATGGGCGCAGGCCTGGGCCACGGCATGGATCGCGTGGGCTCTGAGATCGAGCGCATGGGCCTGGTCATGGACCGCATGGGCTCTGTTGAGCGCATGGGCTCTGGGATCGAGCGCATGGGCCCACTGGGCCTCGACCACATGGCCTCCAGCATTGAGCGAATGGGCCAAACCATGGAGCGCATCGGCTCTGGTGTTGAGCGCATGGGGGCCGGCATGGGTTTCGGCCTGGAGCGCATGGCCGCGCCCATCGACCGTGTGGGCCAAACCATTGAGCGCATGGGCTCTGGTGTGGAGCGCATGGGCCCTGCCATCGAGCGCATGGGCCTGGGCATGGAGCGCATGGTGCCCGCAGGCATGGGGGCCGGCCTGGAGCGCATGGGCCCCGTGATGGATCGCATGGCCACCGGCCTGGAGCGCATGGGCGCCAACAACCTGGAGCGCATGGGCCTGGAGCGCATGGGCGCCAACAGCCTGGAGCGCATGGGCCTGGAGCGCATGGGCGCCAACAGCCTGGAGCGCATGGGCCCTGCCATGGGCCCAGCCCTGGGCGCTGGCATTGAGCGCATGGGCCTGGCCATGGGTGGCGCTGGTGGTGCCAGCTTTGATCGCGCCATCGAGATGGAACGTGGAAACTTTGGAGGAAGCTTCGCAGGTTCCTTTGGTGGAGCTGGAGGCCATGCTCCTGGGGTGGCCAGGAAGGCCTGCCAGATATTTGTGAGAAATGTAAGTGGCTCTTCAGGAACTCCTGGGCGGTGTTAGGGACAGGGGAGGAGATTGGTGGACTGAATGGTAGGGAGCAGGGGAGTGCACACCGTGACCCTCTCCCAAGTCCACTGCTGGGGATGAGGAGGGAAGCTGAGGGCAGAGCAGGAGCAGTGGTCTGTGATTACCTGAGCTTCTCCTCTGTGTCAGACCGAGCAGCAGGCTGAGCTGACTCTGGTTTCCCATCCCTTGGCTTGGGCACCCGAGTCTTGGCATGGTGATTCAGAGAATGTGTCTATAACTAAATTATCTGTAACAACTTAGCCTCTGAGTTTGTGGGCTGCCTGCCTTGGCCCCTCATCCCACGTGTTCTACTCCCCATGTGAACATGCTGGAGAGAGTGGACTAGAGATAGAGCCACAGTGAGGGCCCTTCAGAGCGCATTCCAGATAGAGGTGTTCACTTGAGGTTGATTTCCTCAACTAGGGAACAGCCAGCTACTGTGCGTGATACATTTTGTGTGTGTGTGTTGCTGGGGCTGTATCCCAGAGCTTCACCAGTGGAGTGGGCCACATGAGCCACGTCCCTGCCCCCAGGGATTTCCTATGCAGAGTGCTGTGATGTTTGTGCATTAAGACTTGGCAGAGTTGTACATTAGTCTACCATTTTTTCCCCTCAGCTCCCATTTGATTTTACTTGGAAGATGCTAAAGGACAAATTCAACGAGTGTGGTAAGTGTCTGAGAAAGGCTCTCTAGGTGCTTCCTGTGTCGTGGCTCGGTGGTGCCATGGAGTCAAGCAGTAGATCTTCCTTCCTAGTCTTGTCCGTCAGCTCTAGAGGACTGATGGGCCTTGCCATTGTTCTGCTTCTGCGGATGCTCAGGCAGGTGTTGAGTCCCAGTATGTGTCAGATATTTTCTGCCTGTATTTTCCATTTTCTCCTTAGCTTCCCCTTTTCCTTCTAGAGTTTTGAAGAGGGGGTAGGGCTGACCCCCTTGACAGATGAGTCAGGTAAAGTCACCTTCCCTAAGGTCACGTAGCTTCTAAGATACAAAACTAAATACATCCCAGACAAGGTTGCTCTCCTCACAGCACAGCTAGCTCGGTGCCACAGAGCACTCGTGTGCCCAGCAGGTGCCCTGGGTGATATTGCGGTGTCTGGGTGAGGGTGAGGGTGAGGATGGTCCCTGGTGGTAGTGTTTCCTGGCACTCCAGCCACCTCTTCTTAGATCCGCCTTGTGGCCAAAAAATTCTTTCCTTGCCCTCCATGGAGAGCTGTCTCCTGCCACCCCGCACCCCTGTCCTTTCCAGCTCCATCAACCCTAAACTTGAGGTCTGGGGCTGCTGAGTCAGGGCCTCATCTGTTCTCACCGTTCCTGTCTCAGGAGTGGTGCATGGTTGATTGCACTGCTGCTTCCCTGGGGTTTTCTCTGGGAGTGAGCGGAGACAGAGGCACTTCTTTGCCTGTCTTTCCTCTCCCCACTCTGCAGTTTCCACATCATGGTAGATAGTTGGAAAAGCCAGATTGGATCAAGCCACCCCCTCACCCTGAGGAAGTCCAAATTGACAGGCCCTCTGAGGACTTGGCCCCTGCCCCTCTTCCCCGGCTGCACCTTCGCTCCTAGTGCTCTGGTGGTGCTGTCACTGGCGGGACTGTGTCTCTTGGTGATGATCTGCTCGAGGTTCTCACAGTGGCACTGTGAGGCAACCTGGGTGTTGTCCCCACCCTGGACAGTTACTGGCTGCGGAACTGCGGGTCCCTAGCACTGCTGCTCTCTCAGTCTTGGCTCTCGGTTGGCCTCTGGCCTCCCCTTAGGCCCCTCCCGTGGTGTCTGGCACATACCTGGGTGCTTGGCAGGTGCTTGGTGCACGTAAGCTGCCCGCTCGCCAGGACCTTGGCTGCCACTGAGCGGCACTGGCAGTGCTTCTGTGAGTTGGGGTGGTGACTTGGGGAAAATAAAGCCTCTGAAATTGGCTTGTACAGTTGGCTTCGACTGCCCCTTGTTTTTGTAAAGCCTGGCATTTGAGGCCTCCAGAACGGTTAGCAGAAGCACACTGAGACTTCCGTCCTACTGACAGAGCAATGGCAATGTGGCCAAGGGTGTAGTCGCCAGCTCTGGCTGTGGTGTTCTGAATTTGCGCTCTCCTTTTCGACTCACAAAATCCAACAGGTGATCTGGACTGAGTGGAGCCGGGCTGAGGCTGAGCTCTGGGTTTGCCTGATGAGTTGGTCTCTTCTTCCTCCCTGTGCCAGGCCATGTGCTGTATGCTGACATCAAGATGGAGAACGGGAAGTCCAAGGGGTGCGGAGTGGTTAAGTTTGAGTCACCAGAGGTGGCGGAGAGGGCCTGCCGGATGATGAATGGCATGAAGCTGAGTGGCCGAGAGATCGATGTTCGGATCGATAGAAATGCTTAAGCAGTTGCCTTTTTTAAACATCAATACCAGACCTCTGAATTTGTATTTTTTCTTGTTAACCATTTTAGTTTGTTGGCTGGATGTATAAAGATGTTTAAAAAATTCAGTTGCTTTTTGGGGTAATTTGAATTACTTTTTTAACGACTGGGGTTCCATTTGACTGTTTGCATTGAGATTGCAATGTGCGCAATTTTTTTTGTAGTTGTGGCATCTTGTTGACATCGAATATGACTTTGATAATAAATACCAGTTCCTGAAAGCGGCTTGCTTTTGCGTGTGTGTTGTGGGGTGGCCATCTGAGGGTTTGGAAGCCAGAGCCACTGGGCCTTCCTCTTTCTCTTCCCCAAGAGCCATGATACTAGGGATCTTCCCTCTGTCGTTGTTTGTCTGTGGTCCCTGGGAATAGAAGATCAGGGCCCTGCCACCTCAGGAAACACCTTGGTGGAAACCTCGTTTTGAGGGGCTTGCCTTCCCCAGCACTGAGAACAGAGTATTCGCAGTGTGGAGCAGTCCCAGAAGCTGTCCTGCCTCCCTTGTGACTTTATCCTGCAGGGCACAGGACATGTGTCAGGGTCACCTCCAGCTTGGCTTTTCCCCCTATACAGACGGAGGAGCAGTGTGCCGGTTCTGAGTATCTGGCCCTGGCAGAGGTTCAGGCTGACCTGGATCCCTGGCTCTGTCAGAGTCCTCATCCCACTGCCACTGAAGGGTTCCCCCAGGGCCACTTGGTGGTCAGAAGGGACAGCTTCCGAGGGGCTCTGACTGCTGCCTGTCCTGTGTGAGGTGCATCCTGCTACCCAGCCCTTCCCACACTGGCAGGCGGCTTCCTTTTTTCCATAACTACAGGGTGAGACCATGGAACTGGGCTGGGATTGACCCCACAGGTACACAGTGCTGTGTGTGCCTGTCAGCAGGGAAAGAAAGTCAAGAAGAGGGGTTACTTTAAAGAGAGGTTTATGTGGTCTCACATGTGCTGGGCAGCTCTTTCTGCCAGGCTGGGCTCAGGGCTCCAGGATAGCAGCTGGCTTGCTGGGCCCTTGAGCAGTCCTCACTGTCCCCGAGGAAATGGTTGGTTCTCTAGAGGATCTGTGATTGGAGGGTGACTTGCGGTGATTCCTCTCCCAGAGGTACAACAGCAAGCAGCCCCTGGGAGTCACTGTGGTCCCTTCGAGGTGGACCTGAGCATCTACGTACCCCAGATGCCGACGTCAACGTCGTCATACACCTCCGTTTCCCTAGCAGAGAACAAGCACAGCTGGGTCAGCATGGGGTGCGCTCGGCTCACCTCCCTCCCCCAGGCAGAGCCAGCACTCACAGGGGAAGGAGCGCTGTCCTGGGCACATAGCCATCTGCAAGGGAAGAGCTGGGCACAGTGGGTCCTCCACTGGGGGGGCACCCCACCCCGCCCCCACCCCTGGGGCCTCCAAGCCAGGCCCACTCACACTTGCCCTTGGGGTCCCGGCATAGCATCTCATCCTTGTTGGTGAACTCAATGACCTCCAGGATCTCTCCGCGCCGGATCCCCAGGTGCTTGCCACCCCCACGACGGGTCTTGGCGTTGGGGTCGATCATCATCCTCGTGTGAATCACAATCTCCCCCTCAAACTGGAGTGGGAGGGGAGCTGTTTAGGGCTTTTCTCAGCCGTCCCCTTGAACCGTGCCTTTTGAGGTTGGGACTGTTGTGCCCCACCTTGAACTTCTTCCGGAACTCCCTCTCTGCCTTCTCCGCCTTCCTCATCTGCTTCAGCACCTTTGGGTCCGTGGATGGCACCTGCTGTGGCTGGGGGCTGTTCTCCTTCCTGGCCCCCCTAGGAATTGGGGGAACTTAGGAGTGTCCGGGGTCTGCCTTCACAGTTCCCTGTGCGCTTGGACCACCCTGTCCCGCCCCCTGCGACCTGTGGTACCTGAGTTCTGGATCTTGTGGTGGCTTCCTGGTGTCTTGCTGAGTAGACCACACTTCATCTGAGGGCAGTCATGCGGCTGAGTCAGGGCAGGGACCTCGCTCAGCTGCTCCACCCTGGTGACCTTGGGGGAAGGAGCCTCCCCTAACCAGCTCAAATCTAGCCAGGTCCCGTCCTGCCCTGCCTGCTGCCTCCCTGGTCCTTGTGCCCTTGTCAGGGCCGCCTCATTCTAGCAGGCTGCCTTTGTTTCCATAACTCCTCCTCATGCTAGTCTGGCGGGAAACTGCTGTACCATTTTAATTCATGTCTGTAGGTGACATTCATCCCCAGCTGGCTGGTGAGGAAATGAAAGGCTCAAATACGTTGAGCAGCCTGTCCACCCATCCAGCTGTTGAATGGTGGATTTGTAGGCTTTGTTTTTTTGGCTTTGGGGTAGGGTGGGACAGGGTCTCACTGCTATGTAGTCCAGGCTGGCCTCGAACTCACTATGTAGCCAAGGCTGGCCTTGGACGATGACAGATGTGTGCCACCACGCCCAGCTCTATTTGTAGGCTTTGGAGACCATTTCATTTATGCATTCTAAGCGCAGGTTGGGGATTGGAAGATTGGGGTCAAAAAACAGAAGCAAAGACGAGCATTCTCTAGAGGCAACCAAAGCCTGCCTCTGAGCAGGATGGGCTGGCTGGTGACCAGCCTGGAGGGAGGGGGACGGGAGCGTCTCAGGACGCCTGTGTCAGGCACCCTGTGCCACCTCCTGCCGGCTGTGAGCCCCGAACCCGGGGTGAGTGAAGGGCCTGAGTCGAGTCCCCGATTTAGCCTCTGGGTGACCTGAAGTGTCGCTCTGGACACCAGGCAGCCCACTGAGGGCTGTTGGCAGTTCCCACTCCCCATGCCAGTGCTGAGCTCGGCCTCACAGTCTGGGTGGTGCCGTCCATCGTGGGTCCCACTAGGAACACTGGCCCACCACTGGCTGTCCCATCAGGCTGCCTTGACTCTGGCTGGTCACTCACAGGAGCAGCCAAGGCCCTGCTTGCAGCCTGCCTCCCTCAAGCTTCCTCGGCCCCAGGAGCCACAGAGGCGGCACCAGCTGTGGAGGGGAGCTGGGCCTGTGCCAAGGGAGGCCCAGCCTGCCCTGCCAGTGGGGGGACCCGGTGCACATGGTATTTGATCTGGATTTTGAACAGCTGGCAGCTGGAGAGGGCCTGTCTGCACAGGGGAGGTATGTGGAGAAAGCCCACAGGGAAGCTAGAAAGGAAGTGGCCGGGCCTAGGAAGAGCCCCTCTCCCCACAGCCCATGCCCCCCAAGAGCAGTCCCCAGACCCAGGCAGCAGAGCCTCCCTGCGGCGGAAGCAGGAGGGGCCTTGGCAGGAAGCTGTGTGCTAAGGAGGTGTTGCAAGCAGCCCCTGGGGATGGATAGCCCAGAAGTGGAAGGGGCTAGGAGGAGTAGGGACTGGGAACCCTGTATCAGGACCTCTGGGGTGGATGGGGGAGAGCTGGAGCCCACTAAAGGCCACACCCACTCCCCTGCAGGAAGCCCCACCACAGAAAGGTGGGCATGGCCTGCGCAGAGAGGACCTGGCTGGAGCCCCAGTGCTCTGGGCTGCTGCACTGGGGAAGTGGAGGTGGCACTGCATGGGGTCAGGGGCTGTGCATCCAGTACATACTTGCAGGGCAGCTCCAACCTGTCCTGGAGCCAGCCTGGGGTGCAGGCCTGCTGGGTCCTCTCCCAGTGCTCCAGGTCAGAGGCCGGGGAGAAGGAAGACAAAGGTCCTTCCCTGCCACTGCCACTCCAGCTTGTGCCTGCCTGCTGAGCCCTGCAGGACATCCCCTCAGCACCTGGGGTGCACAGGTCCTCATGGAACCTGCCGTCGGGTCCCTAGCCCTGGATGGCTCTGCCGTGCGGTCCAGCACTAGGTGCCAAGTGGGCCTCATCCAGCCTTGGCTCCACACACGCTGAGTCCCGCCAGCCGTCTTTGAAGGCTGGGTTCTTCCACTGCCGTCCACGCTCCTGCCACCACCCCCGGCCACACCACTGCCTGCCACAGCCTCCTCGCTGCTTGTCAGCCTCTGGGATGTCCTCTCTCACGGTTCATCCAGCACTGTCTGGGCCTTATGCCACGATTGTGGCAGGAAATTGCCCTGGCAGCGTCTGCTTTATGGCCTGGGCAGGCCACCAACAAACCTCTGGCCCTGGGTCTAGGGCTGGGGTCCTCCGTGGGCTCCCCTTCGTCACACATCTCGTAGATCTCGTCCGGGTCCCTGCAGGGACACCCAGCATGAGAGCCCCGTCTGCCCACGCCTGTGCCCAGCCCTCTCCTCCCCACACTCACTGTGGGAATGGTTCAGCCTGTCGAGCCTGGAGGGCCTGGAAGTACATCCCGGCAGAAGAGCGAGTCCTCCGCACGCCTGTGGGGACAGGGTGCGCAGGGAGGAGGTGGCGCTGCCTTGGCACCTCAGCCCCTCCATCCTTGCCTGTGCTGCACACTCGACCCACCTGTGCCTGCTGCCGGGAGCCTCCAAAAGCTCTGGACATCCAGGGGGCCTGGGGGAAGCGGGGGCTTGGCTGGAGGGGGCCCCAGGCTGCTGGCTGGGGGCAGAGGCCTCCGAGGGGGTGGCTGGCGGCCTTGGAGGTCTTCAGACTTCCAGCGGGGCGCCCTAGCAGCTCCAAGCTGCCCAGAGCCCACGACAGCTGCTGGCACTGAGCTCTCAGACACCGAGCCCGGAAGTGGGCTCTTTCTAGGGAGACCTGGGAAAAGCTCAGGCTGCTTGGGCAGAGCATGGGGCTCTGGCTGGGAGAACTTGCGGGGTGGCCCCCTGCACTCAGGCTGGGAGAACTTCCTGGGGAGCACACTGAACTCGGGCACGGAGGATGTTCTGGGGAGGCCACCCAGCTCAGGCTGCGGGGGCTTTTTGGAAAGGGCCTTGAACTCAGGCCGCTGTGACCTCTTGGGAAGCACGCTGACTTCCGGCTCTGAGGACGTCCTAGTGAGGTCACCAAACTCCAGCTTCAGGGCCTTCTTGGGAAACGCACTGAAGCCTGGCTTGGGGGAGTGGGGCTTTTGTAACTCAGACTCGGGCTTTGAAGGGGACTGCATGGGGACCTCACTGAACTCAGGCTGCGGGAGGGATCTCTTAGGGGGAGCGCCAGCCTGAGGCCGCAGGGGCTTCCTGGGAAAGGTGCCGAAGTCAGGCTTTGGGGAGAGGGGACAGGGCTCAGTGGACCCAGGCTTTGAGGGGGACACTTGGGGGACCTCACTGAACTCGGGCTGCGGTGAGGACTTCCCAGGGAGGCCACTGACTGGGAGCTTCGGGGGCTTCCTGGGGTATACACTGAACTCAGGCTGCGGGGGCTTCTTGGGCAAGGTACCGAGCCCGGTCAGCAAGGACCTTGGGGGGCCCTCGCTGGACTCCAGCTGCTGGAATTTCTTGGGGACCACATTGGGTTTGGGCTCTGAGGGGGACCTGGCAGGGTTCCTGACCTCAGGCTGGGGGTGCTTCCTGGGAAAGGGACTGGCCTCAAGCTGAGGACGCTTCTTGGAGAGATCACCGAACTCAGGTTTGGATGGCTTTTGGGGGGGATCAGTGAACTCGGGCTGGGAGAGCTTCTGGGGCAGACTGGCAAACTGAGGCTGTGGGAGCTGCTTCGGCTGCTCGCTCGGCTCCAGCTGCGGGAGCTTCTTCAGAAGTTTGTTAACTTCCGGCTTTGGGGGTTTTGGGGGGAGTTCACTGGACTCTGCCCGAGAGGCCTGGAACTTGGCTTGGAGGCTCCGGAAGTCCTGGTGGCTCTCCTAGGGCACACAGTGACAGTGGGCTCTGCACACAGTCGCAGACCCACCACCTCCTCCCCCAGACCACTGTGCTCCCTGCGCCCTGTCCCTGACCTCAGGTCCTGCTTCTGGTTTTGGTTTTCTTTCTTTTCTTTTTTTTTTTTCCTTTGGTACCAAGGATCGAACTCCGGTCCTTGCACTTGCAAGGCAGGTGGCAGAACCACTGAGCTAAATCCCCGGCCCAAATTTTAGCTTTGAATATTTTAAATTTATCATACTTTTTCTTTTTTGTTTTTTTTTTTTGGTACCAGGGATTGAACTCGGGTCCTTGCGCTTGCGCAGCAGGCAGCGAAACCACTGAGCAAAATCCCCGGCCCTCTGCTTCTGTTTTTGGCTGAGACCCCTTCCCCCCAGGTTCTGGAAACCACATCCCTGGGACTTGTCCACATCCACGTCCACGTCCATGTCCAACCTCACCTCCAGCAGGGCCTGAGCTGGGGGTCTCTCCCTGCAGCCCTCAGTCGTCCTCCTAGCATCCTCATGCCCCCCCCCCACCGCATGTCACCCCTGCCCCACATCCCCCCAGTCCTTTCTGTTCCAATTTCAAAATACATCCGGTATCCAACCACTTCTCACTACCTCCGCCACTGTCACCCCAGCCGGGGGAACCCCGCCTCCTGCCCGGGTTACAGTAACAGGCTCCTCTGGTCTGCTTACCCCTCAGTCCCAGCCTCGCTCTGTTTGCCCCACTAAGGCTGGAAGAAGCCTGCTGAGCCCCTGCTCACAACTGCCTAAGGGTTCCCGTCTCCCCAGGGAAGTCTCATGAGGGCCCTAATCACCAAGTCTCCCCGTCCTCCCGGTCACCAGCACACGCTCCCCCCACTGTCTGGGTCTGTTCCATCTCCAGCCCCCCCGCCCTCCGAGCCAGTATCTCCTTTGTCAGAGAGCCCTTCGAGGCCAGACTATTATAAGTCAAACTTCTTACTTGTAGGTTTTTGTTTTGTTTTGTTTTTTGGTACCAAGGATCAAACTAGGAACCTTTCGCTTGCAAGGCAGGCGGCAGAACCATTGTGCTAAATCCCTGGCCCATTTGTATGTTTTTAATGTCTCGACTGGCTTGGGTATTTATTTTGTTGCCGGAACTCGGGGCTTTGTGCAGGCCAGAGAAGTGCTCTCCCATGGAGCTCCACCACACCTCCGAGTTTTTGAAATTTGTTTTTTTCTCTGCATACGTACACACCCCCAGGGCCACTCCTCAGCTGCTGCAGGGAAAGGATTTCGCTCATTCATTGCTGACCTTGCAGTGTGTGGCACATAGCAGGTGCTTGGTAAGTACTCACAGATATAAAGAATATATGGGCCAGGCGTGGTGCTGTGTGCCTGTCATCCCAGCACTCAGGAGGCTGAGGCAGGAGGATCGTTGTAAGTTCAGGACCAGCCTGGACAACTTAGTGAGTTCAAGGGCAGCCTGAACTATATAGCGAGAGACTGTCTCAAAAACAAAACAAACCCCCAAAACCCAAAGGCAAACGCTTGGTCTGACAGTCCCAGACGCAGACCTGGAGATGACGTGGGCAGGCCCCAGCCCTCACAGGTCCCCGACACTTGAGCTGCCAGTCAGGAGGCTCATAGTCAACAGCAGCCATAAGGACCAGAAGGCAGGGGCTTCCCACGGGCACCTGTTGGGCACACAGCACCTGGGCACGCCCACAATGTCCCAGGTGCCCTCGAAGGTGGCCGTGTGCCATGGGGCACGGGTGCTGGCAGATGCCCAAGACCAGGTCAGCTCCAAGCGGCTGTCAAAGAGCAGGACCCTGGGGCCCCTGTCCGGGCTGTGCCCCACTTCCATGTCCACCCCGGGGGTTCTAGCCCCGAAAGGCGGTGATGCTGCCTGAGGCCGGATGTGCCTGTGGGTGGGTTGAAGTCAGGGTGAGCAGGTCACTGCTTTGCCTGGTGGGGCGGTCAGCGGAGTGTGACCCACTTAGTCAACCCACAGAAAGCTTCTGCTCTCCCCCAGCTGCCTCTTCCCAGGTCAGGTCGCTGTTCTGCTGCCCTGGGGGATGGGATCGTTTCGAGCAGTGCCACCTGCCTCCCAGGCCCGTTGGCCCCCGCCTGAGTCTGCGCCCTGCCTGCTCCCACCTTGCCACCTCCACGCGGGCCATCCCTGTTTCCCTGCCTGGTTTCCCAGGCCACTGTGCCCACCCCTGGCACAGGCCTGATAATGAGCCCCTGCTGTGGCCCTGCCCTCTCCCAGGGCTTGGGGACTCACCATGGCTGCAGGCAGGATGGGCCACGGGCTGAGTGGGCCCCTCACAGCGTGTGCTGCCTTCAGGAAGTAACTGCAGCTTCTCCACTCAAGGTTGGGGCCGCCGTTGGGGTGGGGAGGGCGGAGGAGGAAGGAGAGGAGGTGGAGAGGGAGACAGCCCTGGCCTGTCCCCAGACCCTGCGGGGCACTTCTGTCCCTCTTCAGGTCCTGTCCCTGGGCTTTGGGCCTCGGTCTGTAGTTATCACTGGCTTCTTGACTCCTCTCTCTCCTTTACTCCGTGCCCTCCAGACTTGAGTGCCAGGCCCTGGTGACCGGCCAGCAAAGAGGCAGCCGCAGGACACGGAGCTCTCAGTGGGGAGACCAGGTCTGGCGGGGGCTGGTGGGATGGCGAGGCCACATCTGCCTGCTGGGTTGCCCCATCCGTCTGTTTCAACACCTCTGGCTCTTGGCAGGACTTCCCTGTTGAGGGGACAGATGTCCACCTGCCAGCAGCAGCCAGGGCAGAGGACTTGGCTAGGACTGCAGATTTGGGGGTGTCAGAGACCTTGCTCCCGAGGACACCCTGAGTTTTCTGTGGCTGGAGGTGGTAGGGAGGAAGCCAAAGACAGGGCAGGAGGGAAGCGGAGACAGGTACAGGGGGAGGAAGGCCACGAGACCGGGGTGAGCCCTGACCACAGGGCTCTGTCCGCAGGAAATCAGTGGCCTTGGCCACAGCAGGTGAAGGGAGAAATACCCAGGAGAGTGCAGAGCCCTGATTCTCTTTGGCCACACATGGCAGTCACCTGAGCAGTTTGCAGACAGACTCTGGCTCAGTCGGGCTGGGGTGTGGCCTGATTAAGGGGAGTTTTTTAGACCCTGGTAGGTGATTCCAGTGCACAGCCAAATACTCTAGCAGCCCCAGAGTTACCTGAGACCGGTGAAGTGCAGGGTCTGGTTCAGGCAGGATCCAGGCTGCTGGTGCGTGGACCACGCTTGGAGTAGCAAGAACCACAGATGACCCTCGGAAGCAGCCCTGTGAGCTTTTGTGATTTTTTTTCAGTACTGAAAAAACTCAGGGGATTGAACTCAGGACCTCATGCTTGTGAAGTAGGCGCGATGTCACTGAACTAAATCCCTGGCTCGTGAGTTTATTTTTGAGACAGGGTCTCACTATGTAGTCCAGGCTGGCCTTAAACACTGTGGAGCCCAGGCCAGCCTCGAACTCGTGGCGATCTTCCTGCCTCAGCCTCCCAAGTGCTGGGATCACAGGTGTGCACCATTGTCCCAAGCAAGTCTACCTTTAAATGAGAGGTCCGAGGGTAAGGGGTCAGGGATGACCAGGGCTGGGTCCTTTCTGCATTTCCAGGATCATGGTAATAGGGTGTGTGTGTAAAAGAACAGTCATGTAGTGACCGAGAACACACAGTAGGCCCTCAATTAAGGCAAGCTAAGGATCAGCCACAGCTGGGGGCTCCAGAGACTCCTGGACTGGCCACTGGGTGTGGACGTCCGGCCTTAGTCCCGCCCCTTGAGCTCGCAAGACTGAGGCTGCCAGGGGGCGGGGCCGCCTTCTTCCCTTTCTGTCTTTGGCGTCTTCCCGGCGGCTCTGGGCCGGGTCGCTGGGCCATGGGGTGGCCTTGACCAGGTGGCTCCACCCAGAAGAGAACCGGAAGCCCAAAGTGAATGTGGGGCAGTCGAGAGCCGCGCTCAGGAGCAGGGGACCACGACTCTTCTCCCAGCCACGCCTGGGGTCACTGAGCCGGTAACCACCGGCGACAAACTGCCGAGCGGGACAAGCGCACCAGCAGCCAAGCCTCCAGGGCCGCCCAGCCTGTGGGCCCTGCAGTCCCTGGCACCCTCGGGCGCCCCCTGCTGGCGGAGCCGGGGCTGGGGAGGATCCAGGGCTTTGAGCCTTCTCTGACTGGCAGGCAGGGGGAGGTGTCTCTTTGGGGTACCCGCTTGGCTGGGGCTGGGGGAGCACAGAAGAGGCCTTGGGGGCGGTAAGGTCTCCCAGGGACAAAGGCTGGAGGTGCGAGGAGAGGCAGTGAGGGCAGGACGTGTTTCGGACAGGGCAGGGTGCTAATGGAGCCGGTTTGAGGCGCTGGCAGAGGGGGGGCCTCGCTGGGCCCCCCGAGGCCCCGGGTCACGGCGGACAGGGCAGGCCAGCAGCAGGCCTGGGGCTCGGGTGGCTCAGGTCTGAAGGGGCCAGGGTCACCCTCCTGCCCTTCTCAAGAGAAGCTGGTGCCTGTGTCCGTCAGAAGGACAGAGCAGGAGAAAGAGGAGGGTGAGGAGGGAGAGTCAGTGTGGCCCTGAGGGGTGGGGAGGCTCGAGAGGGCGCCTGGCGGCTCCTGAGAGGGCAGTCACTGGAGGAAGGGTGCAGGACCGCACTAGCGGAAGAGGCCTTGTTTCCAGGGACGTTCCCACGGGGGATGGGCAGGCAGGGTCCCCAGAAGGACCGCGGGGCCAAAGAGGATCTAAAGGAGCCAGATGCAGAAGGTAAAGCTGCTCGCGAGGGGCGTCTGTCTCTATGCCCAGGGGCCCAGCCAGCCGGGGCCAGAGCTAGCTTGCCACTGGAGTTTTAAACCCGACCCCAATCATCCCTAAAGCTACTCCTTCCCGTGTGACTCCTGCCAGGCCAGCCCTGAAATTTCTCAGGACCGGTGTTCAGCTGAGCCACACCCTAGCCCGACCCCGGGCCCCACTGTGGTGGGTAGGGTGGCATTGGGGGCCACAGTGTTGAGGTGACAGGGTACATGGGGCGGGGGACAGGTTCTGTGCGCGTGCACAGAGCCACCTGGAGGTGCATCTCCGACGGTGTGGTCGCCTCAGGCCCGCCAGGCACCAGCTCACTGCGCATTGGAGGGCAAGGGACCCAGACACAGCACAGGCTGGCTCATCGCGCCTCCTTTATTGTCCTCCTCCTCAGATTACAAAAATCTCCGCCCCACCCATCCCAAAGCCAGGGGTCGGTGCAGTTCAAAGCAGTGAGAAAACCGGACGCTCCCCCTCGGACATCAGCTGCGACACCTTAGGCGCAAGCGGGGTGGGGTCCGGGTGGGGCAGAGCAGGGGGCGCTGGAGCGTCGGCCCCGCCCCTGGCCTCCGGCTCCCCGCCCTCTCCCCGTGCGCGTCCCTCGGCCTTACCCGCCGGGGCGTCGGGGCGCGGCGGCCCGGGCGGCAGGGCTGCGGGGGCGCCGGGGCGGTGGTCCTGTAGGTGCAGGGTCATGGCGGGCCGCGAGGCCGTGGAGAAGGCGCACTGCATGCACGAGTAGCGGCCGCGCGTGTGCTCCCACACGATGCGGCTCGGGGCCGCGTGCGCTGCGGGCAGGCAGGCGGGCCGTCAGTCCTGCGCGCCACCCCGGGGACCCGTCCGGCACGGGTGGGCGCCGGACCTCTCCCCGCCTCCCCTTCGGCTCCGGGCGCCCAGGTGGAATGTGGGGGGATCGGGCCGGTCGGACCTGCTTCTTCTGGTCCCTGTCCTCGAGGGCACTAAACTTAGCCTCACGCGAATCCTCCATTCCCATCCCCGACTACTGCAGGGGGGAGGACGGTTGTGAGGGGGCGCGAGTTTTACGCGGAAAGCCGGCGCAGAGGAAGGCGCAGGGGCCAGTGGTTTTAAAGGCAAAATCTTATATTTTAAGGGCGGGCACTGCTGCCCTGCCAGCATCCATGGGAAAGAAAGTCCCTCCACCCCGCCCTGGTGGTCACCTGCACGCACCTGAGGGCGCATCGGAGCCGCCCTGCGGTCTTCGGGGGCTGCCGCCAGCACCTGTAGGAGGGGAGGGTCAAGGTCAGGGTCAGGCCCCGCCCCCAGCCCACCCGCGGGCCCCGCCCCCACACTCACCTTGGCTCTTTTTCCAGACAGCGGCGCTGGAGGCTGGTGGCCCGGGAGCGGTGGCCAGGAAGGGGCGCAGGCGTGGGGGACTTAGGCCAAAGGGCGCGGGGTTCAAGTAGGGTAGGAAGGACCCAGTGGGTACAGAGGAGGGGGTTGTGAAGGGCTCGAGCAGCGGGAACGGCAGGCCGGCCGCCGACGCGGGGTCAGACTCCGAGGGGCGCTCAGGTGCTGGGGGCTCCTTGTCCAGGGCGGGGGGCGGCGGCGCGGCCGGGCTCTGAGCATGCTCTGCGCAAACATGCAGGTGCTTGAAGAGCGAGCGGTGCGTGCGGAAGCGCAGGAGGCAGTTCTCACACCTGGGGGCGGGCACAGGACTGGGCTGAGGCTCCCGGGCCAGGAGGAAGGGGGCCCCTTCGCGCGAACGTGGGGAGTCTGGGCCCAAGTCGCCCTCCCTTCCAGTTGACAGGCCTAGGAAGACGCAGAATGAAGTCTGGTTTTCCACTGTTAAGTTCAGAAGCGGGCTGGGTGCAGTCCTAACCACGTACGCCTCACCTGTCCCGAGCTCGGCCGGCCCGCAAGATTCCCCGACTGGCTCTGGGCTCCAGTCGGTCCCCAGCGCGCGGAAGGGAGGGGCTTACCCGAGGCCACGCCCACCCCTGAGTAGAAAGCATAAAGGTCTGGGCCCCACACACACAGTGTGGGGTAACCGGGGTCTCACTTGAAGTAGCGATTGGGCTTGTAATGCAGCTTGCCATGGGCCACCAGCTCCTGCATGCTGGGGAAGCTCTCTGTGCAGCTCAGGGCGGAGCAGCGGAAGAGCTTACCTGGCAGGGGTGAAGGGCAGAGGGATGGAGTGGGGTCAAGGAGGCTGGCCCTGAGGGCTCTGTTCGCCTCCCACCCTAACCTGCCCCCTCACCAACCCTGGCCCTACCTTCTAAGGACTGGGTGGGCGGGCAGTGGGTACGGAGATGCTGCGCCAGGTCACGAACACTGGGGAAACTGAGGAAGCAGCCAGGGCTGGAGCAGGGTATTTGCGTCCCTGCAGAACACACAGAATGGGGTGGGGTCACGGCGCTGCACCAGGCCTCTGCACAAGCCTCCCACCAGCCTCGGCTGACGGAGCAGGGCCTGGATTAGTCTGGCTCTTCACTGGAGCCACAGCCTGGCATGCACTGGCACTCAGCAGAGGGTGACATCCATCTAGATGGGCCCCAGGCCTGGAGTCACTCTGTGCCCCTCACTCCCACTGCTGTCACCTGGCGGTGGGCGTCGTTTGGGAGGGCGCAGGTCCTCACTGGTTCCGGAGACTGTGCTGGGCGGGGCGGGGCTGGCTTCTGGGTCAGGCTGGCAGCTGTCTGAGGCCTGGGAGGCACCCTGCTGTGTCCCTCCAGGCCCTCCACATTCCCACACCGGGGGTGTGGCTGCTCGGTCAGGGCCAAGCTCCTCCTCCATGGAGGTGGCAAAAGCAGCCACAACCGGAGACAACACCTCCTTTTCGGTCTCATTGGAGCTGGGCTCTGCAGGGGCCAGCATGTCCGGACTGGGCTGCGAGGGTTCCTCCTCCTCCTGGTGGAACAGGTGGAAAGGGCCAATCTGTGTTCTGGGCTTGCATTCCTCAATCCTCAGCCCCCAGACATCACCCAGTCACCCCGCAATCTGAGTCACCAGCGAGAGGGAGGGTAGAGTTCCTGCCTCCCAAGTCGCAGGAGAGGTTATCTGCCGGCAGTCACGCATGTGAGAGAAGCATCGCCCCGTCCAACTTGGGGAGGAGGAAGGCGCCAAAAGGGCAGGGGCGTGGCCTAGGGCGGTGGGCGTGGTCAACATTAGGAGGGCGGGGCCAAGACTAGGAAGACGGGGCTCTGGACTGGGGGGCGACAGGGGCCAGAAGCGGGCTGTATTATGATGGGGATATGTCCGCCGGGCTCGGGCTATGCAGACCAATTTGGAGGTACTAAGGGCCCGGGTGTGTGGCTTAGGGGCGGAGCCCGAACCCGGTGGGCGTGGCCCAACCCAGGGCGGCCCGGAAGTGGGGACGTTCGCGGACTGACAGCCCAAGGCAGGCGGGTGCCCGGATGTGGGGGCGGGGTCGGCTGGAGGTTCTACACACAGATAGGGCAGCTCCTTGCCAATCCCCGCTGCTCCGCCGCGCCCGCATCCCGGACGCCGCGCTCACCATCTTCCACTCCGCTCGACCTCTTGCTCCTGCGGCTCCGGTGGCTCCGGGTCAGGTGGCGGCGACTTCTCGGCGATGTGGGATCGGGTTCACATCCACTCCATTGTCTGCCTCTCAGCTCTCGCGAGAGCAGGGGCGGAGCCTGCACGTGACGCTACGAGACGGGGCGGGGCCTGAGACTCGGCCCCTCCAGGACCACGGAGGGGACGCCTGGCTGGACCTGCAAGCTAGGGGCAGCTGCAGGGCGCAGAGATCCGGCAGAGGGCTCTCTCCGGGCCTCGTGTCCTCGTCTGCAAAGTGGGCACTCTTAGCCGCTTTTCTCCGAATCCCATCACCAACCCTCGGAGGGCGCTACACAGCAGGGTCCCCCCCCCTTTTTGATTGGGTCATCTTTTTGGAGGAAATTAATGGCAACAGTCGTCAGATTTTCTTTTTTAAAAATTAAATTCTGCTTGATGTCTGTTGACTGTACCATAATGCCAAGGATTGCCAGTAGACTTTCCAGTAAGTGAAGGCCTAATATAAGCACACTGTGGAGGTGATAGTTGAAACCTGAAGTTAGTGGATTATTCTGCATAATGCTAACCATCCCATTGATCTTCCTGCATTTCCACCATTCCGGGTCATTTTCTGGCTTTTCAATAACATCCATTACATCGCCTTTCTCAAAATTAAGTTCTTCATCATTGGATGGAGTAAAGAATGGGCAAAGAGCCTGTACCATATGCAACACTTCCCCAATATTTAGGTTACTGACAGGTGCTGCTAATTTCTCTGACAGTGAGCTCACATGGTCACCCAAAGGACTGTCGCCTTCTTCAGGAACACAGTTTGAAGGGAACCATCCACTGTGTCCATTGTAGCTACCCTGCCACCACCCATCGCTGTATTTCTCCATGACATTCATTCTTTTTTTTTTTTTTTTGGTACCGGGGATCGAACTGGGTTCTTTGCGCTTGCGCAGCAGGCGGCAAAACCACTGAGCTAAATCCCCAGTCCCTCCATGACGTTCATTCTTGTACCTTTTATCATCAATAGTTCATCCTCTCTCAGCCATGTAGTTAAATTTCACATAGGCAGGCATGTTGAGGTCATAAAGATGTTCCCCTGGGTTAACAAAACTGTCATCTGCAGGAGATTCAGAATCTGGAACACTAGGGGTTTTTTTGTTCACTTTTCCAATGCCTAAGGTATCCTTTAGGTTTTTTACAATAGACGCTTTCGGAGCACTGTTTTTCCTTTCCACATGATTAGAAGGCGCAAAACCTGTTTTATTCATGGAATTTCTAACTCGCTGCCAGGACTTAGAATCACCCAGAAGCCATAAACTCTCATTCTTCTTGATGTCCAGCTCTTGTTCTTGTTGCGCCACATAGTCAATTTTGGCTACTACCACCACTTCTGCCATTTTTCAACAGTTTCAGCACTTCCCTATGCTGAGGCCAGGTGGCTCCAGCCTTAGTTATGGCTGAGGTCTGCGCTCCACCGCCTGCAGCTCTTGGGAGAGGGGTGGGTGTGTCCAGTCATCAGATTTTTGGGGGGCACTTAGTTCTGCAGTTGGAATAGGTCTGTTGTAATAGCCAAGTGCAGGAAACAAACTGATGGTTTTTAGGGCTTTTGTTTGTTTGTTTTTCTTTTGAGACAGAGTCTTGCTCTGTAGCTTAGGCTGGCCTTCACCTCACTGTGTAGCCAGGCTGACCTTGAACTCGTGGCAATGCCCCTTCTTCAGCCTCCTGGGTACTGACACCACAGGCTCACGCCACCAGGCCTGGCTGGCCATTAGGCTTTAATAAGCAGTTGAAAGTCCAGGCTGGAGAGGTATGCCTGCTGGGTGATGGATGCAGAGTGGTGTGTGTACTGGGGCAAAATAGGTCCCCTGTCTACCTTACATTCCTCGAGCACCTACTGTGTGCTAGGTACCAACCTAGATGCAGGAAGACAGCGATTCCTGTCCTCAGGGGACTTGCATCTTCAAATGAGGAAACAGGCAATACATCAACACATGCAGAGTACGATCTTGGGTCCTATTCAGAACAGTGAAGACAACCAAAGAGAAGGACGAGATAGCAAGATAGTGGTGGGTCAGGGGAGCCCCTCTGAGGAAGTGACCTCTCAGCCTGCTGGCTGAGGAGTGAGTGAGGAAGGTTGGGGCAGCAGAGCACTCGGAGAAGTTGGTGAAAATATCCTGGGGTAGAGAGGGAAAAGCTAGGCTTTGGCAAAGAGGAGTGAGGAAACCCGTGCACCATTGCAGCAGCAGAAGGGTGGGGTGTGGAGGTCAGAAGGTGACCTTGCTGCAGGATGGGTCACACAGGGCCCTGTGGCAGGGAGGGGGGAGAGCTGTGGTCTCTTTGTGGCCACTGGCCAATTTTACCAGGGAGAAGAGGTACAGCATGTGATCTCGGTGGTTATTGGATGGCTGTGGGGCAGACAGTAAACTAGATCTTGGACATTGGGTCTGCAGAATGCATTATTGCATTGTTCAGCCCTGAAAGAGGGACTCCCTAAGTCTCAGGTCAGTGTAGCTTTTGTAAGCAGTATATTTCCATCCCGATGACAAAGGTGTACTTATGCATTTCTGTGTGCAGCGAAGATGGTTAGGAGACCTTGAAAAACAGGAGGAGGGCCAGGGATTTAGTTCAGTGGTTCTACTGTCTGCCTCAAAAGTGCAAGGTCCCAAATTCGATCCCCACTACCAAAAAAAGAAAAGAAAAACAGGAGGAGAGCCGGACATGGAGGTGCATGCCTATAAGCCCAGCACTCAAGAGGCTAAGATAGAAAGGTTGTGAGTTAGAGGTCAGCTTGGGCTGTATATCGAAATGATTCAAAGAAAACCATTAAAACAAAAACTAAGGGGGAACATTTACTTAGCATGCTCAGGCCCTTGGATCAATCCTAGCACACAACCAAACCAAAGCAAAAAACAAAAGAAAAAAAAGTCAGCCAGGTATGTTGGCACATGGCTGTAATCACAGCACTTAGGGAAGCTGAAGCAGGAGGGTGGCAAGTTCAAGTCCTGCCTAGACAATTGAATGAAGCCTTGTCTCAAATTTTAAAAATTTAAAGAAGGGCTGGGAATGTAGCTCAGTGGTAGAGCACCTCTGGGTTTGATCCGTAGCACTGCAAACAAAAGCAAACAAAAACATAGCTGAGGTATAGCTTGGTGGAAGAGGATTTGCCTAGCAGGCACAGCATTTGGGCTCCAGCACAACAAAAACAGTCAAACAAACAAACCTCCAAAAATCTGGGGAGAGCAGCAGGGATTTTTCAAGAGAAACTGACTTTTCACTCTTCTGTGTTGTTTTCATTAAGTTGTTTTTCTTTTAATTACCAGTCATTCAGTTAAAAATCCATGCGTTTTATAAAATCATTTTGCTGCAAGGTGAGGAGGTGTTTGTGTGTGTCGCTGGCTGGGGACACTGTTGCAATTCTGGGAAGGGTGGGGTGAGCTCTCAGAAGGGACAGGGCCCCAAGGAAGCAAAAGGAGGGGCCGGATTTAAGAAATTCTGTGATAGAGCTGGCAGGATGTGGGGCTGAGGAGTAGGCAGGTTCGAGGTGACAGGTTTGCAGCCTGGAGATGCCTGTAACCTAGTTCTGAGTTGCTGTCAGGATGTAGCACACACTCCCTTCTCCATCCCCAGCACCCTGTCCAGACCTCAGCAGCCATCGGGTGCCCTCCATGGCAGTCCAGGGCTGTACCTCAGAGTGCTGGGCGGAGAGAACAGCCTCCCTGGTGAGTTGAGGGAGGCCAGAGAAGGGAGACAGAAGCCTGGATTTCTTTTTGTTGTTGTTGTCCAGTCCTTGAACTCACAGTGATCCTCCTGCCTCAGCCTCCCAAGAGCTGGGATCACAGGCCTGTGGCACCACGCCTGGCCCAACTTCTTTCTTTTCTGCACCCATGAAACGCTCAGCCAAGGTTGGTGGCCCACATATTTCCCGCCCAGCCTGTCCTCATGCCCAAGTCTTTTGGAAAGAGAAGTACACAGCGGTGGTTGTGCAGTGGAACTAAAAAAACCCCCTAAAAACCAGAAACCAAACAAAACCAGAAACAGAGAGGCGGGGACTCTCCAGGGGTTGTGAAATGTTTCTTGCACAGTGACTCATCAATACTGCAACCCGGTCACAGGCTTGGGAGTCTTTTCCCAGCCAAGCTTGGCTTTGCAAAGGGAATGCGGAAGGGAGAAGCTGCAGATGGTGCCGGCAGAGCAGCGTCTCCGGGGTTCCTCAAGGCCTCCCCGCCTCCCCCCTTCTCTGGAGGGCAGGTGTCCTCGGCCTGCAGGGCACTGTGTGGCAGCTGCCACCCAGATCCGACAGCGTGGCTCAGTGGCAGAGCGCTGGCCTAGCTGCGCAAGGCCCTGGCTCCACCCCCGGTCCTTGAAATAGAGATCTGACACTGACCCTCTGTAACCTAGGCTCTGCCCCCCCCCCCCCGCCGCGTGCCGACCACAGCCCTCAGACCCCAGCAGCCTGATCCCTTCCCGCCCAGCTCTGCCCACGAGTTCCAAGCTGCTGGATGGGGTGGAGAACAAAGGAACGCAAGGTGGCTCTGTGGAGTCTTGGGTAAGTGGCTGAGGTTCTCTGAAGCTCTAGTTTTCTTTTTTTTGGTATCGGGGATTGAACTCGGGTCCTTGTGCTTTCACAGCAGACGGCGGAAACCACTGAGCTAAATCCCCGGCTGAGGCTCTATTTTTCCACCTGTAAAGTGGGACTATTTTGTGAGTACATACTCCCTGTTGCACGCTCAGTAATTTAACTCACGCTTTTACTCGGCTCGTGTGTTGCCCCAGTGGTAAGAGACAGACAAAGAAGTGGTACTTATCAAGGCCTGTCCACCCTAGCTGTGCCCAGCACTTCACCAACAAGACAGGACACAATTCATTTCACACACAGGGCAGCTGGGAGGTAGGTTCCAGTCAATTCTGATTTTGATTTGTTTGGCTTCTTTTTTTTGCAGTCCTGGGGATGGAACCCAGGGCCTCATGCATGCTAGGCAAGCACTCCACCACTGAGCCCCATCCTTAGCTCCCTACCCCCACTTTTTTTTTTGTACTGGGGATGGAACTCGGGTCCTTGTGCTTGCACAGCAGGCAGCGAAAGCACTGAGCTAAATCACCAGCCCCCCACCCCCACTTTTTAAGACAAGGATTTGCTAGATTGCCCAGTCTGGGCTCAGACTTGAGATTCTCCTGCTTCAGCCTCCTAAGAAACTGGAATGACAGGCCTGCGCTACCACACCCGGCTTAATCCTGTAAGAGAGGAAGGTCAGGGCCCAGGAAGGGGTGCTGCAGCGGGGATCCCCAGATCCAGGGGCTGGGCTGGAGGCCACAGGGTTAGATGTTGTGGCCAAAGCAGCTGAGGTAATCGTAACTCCCGCTGGCAACGCCTGTGCCCTGGCAAAGGACACAGTCCCGGGCTCTGGGTCAGATCTTCTCCACGTAGTTTCCCGGGAAGAGGCCCTCCTGGCCATGCAGCCGGCCCTTCCACCAGCCCGAGGGGTCTATGGGAGAGAAGAGAGCTTGAGGCAGCTTGGAGAGAGCAGGAATGCCAGCTCCAGGTCTGTGTTATTCATGGCACACGCCTGTGATCCCAGCACTCTGGGAGGCTGAGACAGGAAGATGACAAGCTGGAGCCCAGCCTGGGCAACTTAGTGCGACTCTGTCTCAAAATAAAAAAATACAAAAGGGGCTGGGGATGTAGCTCAGTGGGAAGGCCCTGGGTTCAATCCCCAGTACTGGGTGGGGGGAGAAAGGCTGAGACCCAAGCCACTCAGCTTGGTGACCTCCCTGCTGGTGCTGTGAGCGGCCACCTCTGCTCTCCCATGGACAGGGAGAGAGGCTGTGTGGAAATGGGGTCTTGCCCAGCTGTGTGGGGTGCTGGCCACTCCCCACGGAGACCCAGCCCTGGGACACACCTTCCATGAGGATCTCGATGACCTCGTTTATGTTGAAGCTCAGCTCATCCACGTCTTGACCTATGTATTGGTACAGCGCCCGGCACCTCGGGCCATGTACCCGCGGCTGTGGCTTGGGTCGGCCCACGCCAGGCACAGGTCTCTGTCCTATGCTGCGCTTCCTCTGCATGCTGGCAGGAGAGGGGGTGTTCATCACGGCTCCAGACACCCCCTCCCCTGTGCCCACCTCCTGGGACTGCCCTTCCACCCCGCCTACCCCGCCACTCCCTGGTCAGGCACGTTGAGGAATTCTGTGTTGTGCTCTGAGGGCGGGTGTGCCCTGGAACGTCTTCTGGCCCCCAGGGTGGAAGCTGGAGGACCCCGGGGGGGCTGCTGGGAGTTCCTTCCAGGTGTGATATCCAGGGCCAGGGGACCTCCTCGGGCCAAGGGGGGTACCCCATTTCGGTCTAGAGCTGTTGAAGGAGGTTGGAGATATTTGTCAGGAAGATGCTACAAGTATTTGAGCAGGACCTGGCTCCAAATTCCCAGTCTGAGGGAGGAGGCAGCCACACTGACTCCCCAGTGTGGTAAGGACTGGGTCTGAGGGAGGGACCCTGGGGATCCAAGGGTCTAGAGGGAGGCTTTGCAGAGGGAGTCTCCTCCACGTAAGAGGGCTTTTGTGAGTGGATTTTGGAGGATGAATAAGAGCTCAGGATGTGGGAATTTGGGAGATAAGCAGAGAAAACAGCCCAATAAATGTGAGTTGGCAAAAATGAAATGCAGTTTAAATGGCGTGGAAGGAGAGAAGTCAGTGGCCAGCTGGGGTTGGATTTTGAATGCCAGACTAAGCTTAGCATGTATGCTGCAAAAGATGGGGTGCTGTGCAGCATTCTGGACCACTTCGTGACTATGGGTTTGGCTTAGGCCACAGAGTCCACAAAAGGCAAAGGAAGACATTTAGGGTTTCGCCTCACCTCTGGGGGGCCCGGGGGCCGCCCGTGTCGGGGCCTGGGCTGGCCTTCGGTGCCTCCCCTGGGCCATTCCCTTCCGCGTGGGCTCTGAAAGGGGAAAGAAAGGATGCACGCATTTGGGGGATGGCCTGGCCAGACCTAGCTCTTGGCCCCGCCCCAAGTCCCCTCCATGCTGTGACTCCGCCTCCAGGCCCTGCCCCTCAGGCCCATTGGTTCTCTCACCAGCACCATATAGTAACTGGCCCCACTCCTCACTAGCCCTGCTCTTCCTCACTAGCCCTGCTCTTTGGGCCCGCCCACCCCAGGACACGCCCCCACAGCGCCAGGCTTGTCTCTGGCCAAGCCCCTCCACACTTCTCTTTCATTCATTGGTCACTACTCCAAGGCCTTCTTTCTTCCTCCCTCCCACCCTCTCTCCTTCTGTCTATCCGCCCCTCCACAGCCCTTGACTACCCAGGACCAGCCTCACTGGCCCCGCCCCCGAAGTCTTGATTGGCCCCGCCCCTTCCAGACGGCTGCCTATTTGGCTCCGCCCCGCCTTCTGCGCAGACTCACTGGAGCTCTTGGGCAGCCCGTCGCCCACGCTGACCGTGAGGCCCCGGCCGCCCGCTTTGAGCACGGCCAGGTCGCCGGAGCCGCGAGCGAAGGTGACGCTGCGGGTGCCGCCTCCGCCCCAGCCCTCCTTCTTCACGCGGAACTGTAGTCTGTGGGGAGAGGAGGGAGCTTGGGGGAGCCAGCTGGAGCCAGGGAGGGGGTTCAGGGGCGCAGTTCTGGGCGGGGGACGCACGTGTCGCTGAAGTTGAGGGGTAGGGGCCTCTGCGCAGCCTCCTCGAAGCGCTTGCACAGGAGGCTGACGAACTCGGTCTTGAAGATGCTCTCCAGGAAGCTGTCGGCGGCAGCCTCTTGGAGGATGAAGAAGTCGTCCTGTCTCGTGCTGGGGAGGGGCGAGAGGTCGGCCAGGTGAGTGACAGGTGGGGGCAGCAGAAGAACTGGCTTGTGAGCCGTCGCGGGGAGGGCAAGATGCAGGGAGGGAGGTGTCCACGCACAGCATCATGAGGGAACGTGGGGCAGGTGACAGGTAGGTCGCACAAGAAAGGGCTGCAGGTACAGCAGCGGGTGACAGGTGGGGTAACGAGGGGAGCTAAGGTCACAGGGAGGGACGGGGCCCAGGCTCACCTGAGGGACACTCCTCGCAAGGTCTGCAGCTCCAGCTTCTTCTTCAAGATTTCACGCACCTGGCCTTTCTCCGGGCCCTTCTTCACCTTCTCTCGCCCGATCACATACACGCACTTGGGTGTCAGGATCAAGTCCCGCTTGATGGGCTGTGGATGTGCAGGACCAGAAGTTGGTGGCTGGAGCCCGGGGGAGCCTGGCCTCGGAGGATTGGCCCCAGGCACGGGGCGGCGCAGGTCAGTGGAGGTGTGCAGGCCAGGTGAGAGGGGCCCCTCCCTCTGGGCGAAGGCATATGAATTATTATTAATTCCCTGATTTATTTCTCGCTTCTGGGGATGGAACCCAGGGCCTTGCACGTGCTAGGCAACTGCTCTATCCCTGAGTGACATCCCTAGCCCTTTACATTTTTTGATTTTGAGACAGTGGCTCACTAGGTTGCCCACATTGGGCTTGAACTTTCAATCCTCCTACCTTAGTCTTCCAAGTAGCTGGGATTACAGGAAGGTGGGCATGGTGGCGCTTGCCTGTAATCCCAGAACTTGGGAGGCTGAGGCAGGAGGAGTGCCATAAATTTGAGACCAGAGCCTGGGCTACATATTGAGTTCAAGGCCAGCCTGAAATATACATAGTGAGACCCTGTCTCAAAGAGCGAAAAACAAACAGAAAAACAAAGATGTAAAAGTGAGGGTATCTTGGTTAGAAAGGGATACCTGGCCTGTGAACAGGTACAGGGTAGGTAAAGCACCTGCTGGATATGGGTGCCTAGGCTGTGGCCCCCAGAGTGGAAGACGGAGGACAGGTGGGGGCCCCTTGGGAGCTCCTTCTGGAAGTGCTGTCCAGGGGCAGGGGTGAATGAGAGCTCCCAGACCACGTGACAGCACCTGTGGCTGTAGCCAGCTTTTTCTGTATGGTTCTAGGGACTGAACCCAGGTTCTTGCAGGAGCTGAGCATATGCTCTACCTGTGAGCTGCACAACCCAGTCCAGCTGTGGAAAGGAATGGTTCACACGTGGGTGTACAGGTCAGGTACCTGGGTGAGCGGACAGGGGTCATGAGCATGCAGGGTGGCATGAGTATATATGAACTACGTGATTTTTGGCACACACCTGTGTTGAGCAGGTGAAGGGTATGTGTCAGGTGACAGTGTCTGGAATCTGAGGTTGGCCAGGTCAGGTGAGGGGCCTGTCACACGCACGCACACACACACACACACACACACACACACGGCAGGTGGCCACATCCTGGTAGTGTGAAAGTGTCCATCTCGATGGGCGTATAGGGGTTATCTCAGGGATAACCCTGCAGGGCTCTCTTAGGTGGGGGCAGGGCACCTTTCTGGGCGGGGTCAGTGTTGCTGTGGGTCAAGCGAGGACAGGAATTCTGGCCCGGGTGAGGCCAAGTCTGGGTGTCCCTTGGGCAGGCGTGTCCAGGCTAGGTGACGCGGGTGGGTACACCTGTGCTCGGTGGTCAGGGCCCGAGGAGGATTCATATGTGGTGGAGGTGCCCAGCTGGCGACTAGGGCTCGGATGTGACCCCCGCTGGTCCCTCACCTTGAAGCGGCGGTCATACTTGGTGACCGAGTCGGCAAAGTCCACCCGCTCCCTCTTGCCCAGGAACTGACGCAGCTCCGGCCGCTCCTCCAGCCCCAGGTAGTCGCCCACGAAGTTTCGGTTGATGCTGTTCCGCCTCCGCTCCTTCTTGTTGAGCAGGATGTTGGAAGCTGTCCGGGCGAGGCCGGAGAGAGGTCAGGGCCTGGCCCCTGCGGCGCCATAGGTCCCCACTGGCCCCCACCCGCCGCCTCTCACCTTCCTCTCGCATTTCCTCGTACTTGCGCACTGCCACGTGGCGCCTCCACGCCTTCTGGATGGTGCGGGCAAAGCCATCGAACTTCCGCTCTCGCATCTCCTCCAGGAGGAAGAGCTGGGCCAGAGGGCATGGCAGAGGGTCCTGAGGCCTCCCCGGGGCTGCAGTCTCGGGTTCCCCTGGGCCCGCCCCCCCCTTCTGCTCACACCCACCCACACGCCTAGCATACACGGTGGTCAATTGTGTTTCATCTTCCAAGCCAGGTGTGGTGTCAGATGCCTGTAATTCCACTACTCTGGGGGGCTGAGGCAGGGGGACCGCAAGATTGAGCCTAACCTGAGCAATTTAGTGAGACCCCATCTCAAAATAAAAAATGAAAAGGACTGTGGACATAATTCAATGTGACACCCTGGGTTCCATCCCTAGTAAAACCAAATCAAAACAAAACAAAACACACTGTGAGTGTGTGTGTGTGTGTGTGTGTGTGTGTGCGCGCGCGCTTGTAGGGAAGAGTGTAGTGCTGGTCATAGGACAATCAACTGGAGCAGGACTGGGGCCTGGGAAACATGCACATAGAAAATTGGTGGTAAAGGGGACTATGCTGTCAATCAGTGAAGGTGGGAAGGGAAATATTGTGGTTTTTTTGGTACTGGGGATCGAACTTGGGTCCTTGTGCTTTTGGGGCAGGCAGTAGAACCACTGAGCTAAATCCCCAGCCTGGGAAATATTGTTGAAAATAAATTTGGACCTTGGCTTGGTGGTGCACGACTGTCATCCTAGCACATGGGAGGCTGAGGCAGGAGGATCACTGTGGGTTTGAGGCCAGCCTGCACTACTTAGTTCAAAGCCAGCTTTGAACTAGTGGGACTCTGTCTCAAAAAAACAGACAAACAAAAAACCCTCCCTCCCTAAAACAAATCAAACAAACAAAACTGGAGCTGAGTATGATGCATGTATGGAATCGCAGAATTTTGGAAGCTGATGCAGGAGGATCATAAATTCAAGGGCTATGTCGCAAGGCCCTGTCTCCACAAAGCTAAAAAAACAACGAAAACAAAATAAAAATTGAACTTTTTAAAGGAAAATATGTAGTGTGATAAAAATATGGTGAATGTTTTAATTTTTATTTTATTTTTTGTTTTTATGAGTTTTTTTGAGACAAGGTCTTACTCTGTAGTCTGGAAGGCCTTGAACTCACTATGTAGCCCAGGCTGGCCTCGAACTCCTGGTGATCCTCCCGCCTCCCGACTTCTGGGATCAGAGATGTATGCCACCGCTCCTATAGTAGCAGGAGGATTCGTGAGTTCAAGGCCAGCCTGGGCTCCATAGTGAGACCCTGTCTCAAAAGCAAAACAAAACATCCCAAACCAAAACCAAAACCCTCATAAACATAATGAAATTCCAGTCGGGCTGGGAATGCAGCTCATTGGTAGCGTGTGTGGGACGGAGGCCCTGGGTTCCATCCCCAGCCTGAACACATACAGAAAAAGAAAAAAATATCAAATCAAGAGTCATTCCAGCATATGTGCATTTTTGGGTGAGAAAGACTCCATTAAGATGAGTTAATTTCAAAGAGGACTCTGAAACAGTCATAGCTGAAAGGAGAAAGAAAACCTTTATGAGGGATAACAACCCAAATCTTATCTAAGATGCCTCTGACTGTGTCTCCCTAAGGGAAGCGGCTCATAGGCAGCTAGTGGCACCATTCCTTGCCTCCAGCAAGAGCACCTGTAGGCTGCACACGGTAGGTAAATAAGGAAACCATGGACTGAAGGAGAAAAGACCGATAATACCTATGATGAGAACTTGTGTTTTTCTCTGCTTTCTTTGTCTCTTGGTACAGAAGCAAGTTTGAAGAGACAGTTAAAATTATAGTGCTCAAATTTAATGGTTAGGTTTGTGTCATTTCTGGTTTCTCAGTTGGTAAACACTGTCTTCCATAACAGTCATGGGCTGGCGGTGTAGCTCAGTGGTAGAGCACTTGTCTAGCATGTGCCAGGACCTGGGGGTTCAACCCCCAGAATGGCAAGGAAGGAAGAGTGAACAAAACAACACTCATAATGGACATCACTACTTAGTAGCTGCCCTGAATACAGTACTAAAATCTGGTGACTGACCAGTAGTAAATTGCCATAGCTAGAGTTTCAACTGCAATTACAAAATTTAAGAGTAAAGGGCCTACTTTTTGACAGACTTCTTAAGATAACTACATAGCATTACCATTTGGCTATGTGAGTGCTCAGGGAGTTTGCAAAAGTGATTTAATGGAGAAGTGGCTTTTTAGATTTCTTCAGTTGACAGACAAATTAGCATTAAAATATATCTAGTAGAACAGGCCAATTTCTGGACGAGTTTAAGATTACATATAAGGGGGCAGTAGCTTCAGCCTTCTTTTTCCCATGTTGTAAGTAGAACATTGTTTCCTTTGCTGAGGTATTGACAACAGAGATGACTACATTCTGCTTTTGTTTTCATGCCTGTTTATTCCCCATTCTAGATGGATATTTGATTTTCTTTCTTCTTTTTTTTTCCGGTACTGGGAATTCTTTATGGATATTTGAGAAATGGGTCACAAACACATTCCAGAGAGATAAAGTAAAAGGAAGTAATGTAAGTTAAGCCTGTTTTGCTATTGAAGAGTTTATCTTGCCACAGGGAATGGAGTTTGTGTAGTTTGAATTGCTAGGAGAAAGAGTCAAGGATAGGCCATGTGGAAGGCCAAGTGTGGAGGGAAGTGGGCTTTTACCTGCCCAGGGTTCTGAGACTGAATTCAGAATCATCACCAGTGAGGCCCAGTAAAGTCTTCCCTTGAAAAGTTCTAAATGTCAAATGAAAATAAAGTAGTATGTGAAACAGTAAGGAGCAAACTAAAATTTGAATAGAACAGTGTGCTGCAACTATAGAATAGATCTTTACATAATGTGTTGTTTGGCAAACTAAAAACGCAGTGAAAGATTCACATACAGTGCTTCACAAATTAAGCACCAGAGGAAGAGCAAGTTTGTTTTCAAGTTAGTAAAGAATGATATTAAGATGTTTACTTCAGATATGTCGGGTTTTATCTTATGTGACATCTTACGTTCTGCAAAAGGTTATGTTTGCATTTGAAGTTTTTAGGCATTTTTCACATTCAGTTTGACTAAGGAACTTGGATAATAATATCAGCTACTTTAATGTCCCATTTATTTATTTATTTATTTATTTATTTATTTTTGGTACCGGGGATCGAACTCGGGTCCTTGCGCTTGCGCAGCAGGCAGCGGTGAAACCACTGAGCTAAATCCCCAGCCCTAATGTCCTTTTTAAACAGTTGCTTACTAGTTTACTTACACAAACCTACCTAGTAAATATCAGTGGTATTCAGGGCCATGGATTTGCACAGCCCTTGGGACATGGTTCACATAAAACACAAATCAAAGTATCAGTGCACTTTCATGAATGTTTCAGAAATATGTTCATTACCACAACTTCACATGCTTCATCTGAAAAAATTTACTCCCACCTTTTTATAAGATTAGAATGATGTTGACTAGTACTGTCATTTCAGTGTGAGATATTAAATTTTGATGTCTGTATGCAATATGTTGACAAAGTCTCTAAAGAACACTAGTGTTGGCCTTGATTTACAATGCAGGAGATGCAATATTTTCTTTTCTTTTGACTTTTTAGGAATACAGTAACTTAAATCTTTTTGTTGTTGTTGCACATAGTTTTGCAATGTTAATGAATTTCACTGAGAGAGAAATTAGGGAAACAACACCTTTCACAATAGCATCCAAAAAAGAAAGAGAGAAAGAAAGAAAGAAAGAAAGAAAGACCTAGGAATCAATCTAACAAAGGAACTAAAAGACCTCTCCATTGGAAACTACAATATTCTGAAAAAGGACATCAAAGAGAGTATCAGAAAATGGAAAGACATCCCTTGCTCATGGGTAGGAGGAACCAACATGATGAAAATGGCCATACTTCCAAAATTGTTATATAGATTCAGTGCAATCCTGAGCAAAACTCCAACAGCATATCTCACAGAATTAGAAAAAGCAATCCTAAAATTCATTTGGAACCAGAGGAGAACTGGAATAGTAAAGGGAATTCTGGGCAACAAAGGCATGGCAGAGGGCATCACAATCTCTGATTTGAAACTATACTACAAAGCTACTGTGGTAAAAAACAGCATGGTACTGGCAAAAAAAAAAAACAGACCAGAGGATCAATGGAAGAGATTAAAAGACGCAGAAACACTCAGCCACCTAATATTTGACAAAGGAGCCAAACACTTTCACTGGAGGAAAGCTAGCCTCTTTAATAAATGATGCTGGAAAAACTGGCTTTTCACATGCTGAAGATTGAAACTAGACCTTTATCTTTCAACATGCACTAAACTAAAATCAAAATTGATCAAAGATCTAAATATTAAAACAAACACTAAATCTGCTGAACAGAATAGGTAGAACTCTTGAAGACACTGGTGTAGGCAAAGACTTTATGAACAAAACCCCAATTGCACAGGAACTATCACAAAGAATCAACAACTGGGATCTCATTAAAAAGCTTTTACATCGCAAGAGAAACCACCAACAGATGAAGAGACAACCTACAGCATAGGCAAAAAATTTTATCAGCCATTCATCAGACAAAGGACTACTATGTATAATATATAAAGAACTCAAAAGAATTGGACCCCCTAATTTAAAGACCCAATCCAAAAATGGGCATCAGATGAAGAAGTTATTTAGAAACAGCAGATTGCTGGGTGTGGTGGCGCACGCCTGTAGTCCCAGTGCTAGGTAGGCTGAGGCAGGAGGATCACGTGAGTTTGAGGCCAGCCTGGGCTACATAGTGAGTTCAAAGCCAGCCTGAACTAATAGTGAGACCTTGTCTCAAAAAACTAAAAAAAAAAAAGAAACAGCAAATAAATGTATGAAAGAATGTTCAACATCACTGGTCATTCGAGATGCAAATTAAAATAACTCTGCGATTCCATCTCATCTCACTCCAGAAATAACGGCTATCATCAAGAAATCAACCAATAACAAATGCTGGTGGGACTGTGGTGGAAAAGGAACCCTTTGGGCTGGGGATTTAGCTCAGTGGCACTGAGTTCAATACCCGGTACCGCAAACAAAAAAAGGAACCCTTCTCCACTGTTGGTGGAAGCGTAGACTGGTGCAACCACTGTGGAAATCAGTGTGGAGATTCCTCAAAAGAGTAAAACTAGAGGTTCCATTTGACCTAGCCATTGCCCTTCTTGGCATCTTCCTGAAAGAATTAAAAGCATCTTACTACAATGATATATGCACACCCATATTTACAGCGGCAGTTTGTAATAGGTAAATCTTAGAAACAGCCCAATTGCCCATCAACCGACAAATGGATAAAGAAGATGTGGAATTTTTTATACAATAGAGCATTACTCTGCCTTAAAGAAGGATGGGCTTGAGACATTTATAGTTAACTGGATGCACCTTGAGACTATAACACATATGCTTAAATGCCACGTTGTTTCTCTGGTGTGAGAAACTGAAAGTGGGAATAAGAACTAAAATATGTAATGGATACTGAGAAATGGGAAGAAAATGTTCAAATGGAAAGGGGAACAAAGGAGGGGGGGAAAGGAAGGAAGGGACAAGAAAAAGTGAAAACAGAAGGAAAAAATGGAAACAAAGCTTTTGTACGTAGGGAGGGGAGGTGGGCTTGAGGGGATGTGGGGAATGGGAAAGAAAGAAGAGGCAGGATATACAGGTGCAAATTCCCTATGTTGAGTCTTATTATGTATATCTAAAATGTACTAATAAATATTTTGCTTAAAAAAGATAATTTAATTTCTTGACTATTTTTTTTTTAATTTGCAATACTGAGGATTGAGCCCTAGGGCCTTCACATTGAACTACATCCCTTTTTTATTTTTTGGTACTGGGGATCAAACTCGGGTCCTTTTGCTTGCGAGGCAGGCAGTGGAACCACTGAGCCAAATCCCTGGCCTAACATCCTTTTCTTTATTTTTCTTTATGTTATGTTATGTTATTTATTTAGTATTTGAGGCAGGGTCTTGCTATGCAGTTCAGGCTGGTCTTGAACTCACTATGTATCCCAGGCTGGCCTCGAACTGTGGTGATCCTTCTGCCTCAGCCTCCTGAGTAGTTGGGATTATATATAGTCTCAATTTTTCTCAGTCTCTATTCTCCCAATTTCTTTCATTCCTTTTCTCATTCTGTCTCAGCGTCTCTCCCTTCTCTCCCCACTCACCGATTCGGGGTTCTTGACGAAGACCTTGGTGGCCCCCATCTGGTACTGGTCTGGGTCCATGTTCACCGCCCGGAGCAGGTGCTGGACGCCCTGCCGTTCGTCCCGGCGCCACCTCGGCCAGGTCTCGGGAGTCAGGATGGCGTACCTGGGGCGAGGTGGGTGCGGGTGTGGAGCGGGGTGTCGCCGGCCACCGGGGTGGGCGGGGCGGGCGGGGCCTCACCTCTGCAGGAACTTGGAGAACTGGCGGCGGTAGGCGAAGCCGGCCCTGCGCACGCGGATGTTCTCCCGCAGGCCCAGGTACTCCACCTGGTGCTTGACCCTGAGTGGAGGGCAGAGCAGGCAGGGGCTGGGCCTGGATTTGCAGTGCGTGCAGCTCGGGGTCGCCCCGAGGCCTGGGGTGTTGGACCCGGGTCTGGCCAGGCTCTGTGCCCATCCCCGTGGTCAGTCCTGCAATGGAGGTCTGGGGATTGGGGGGGGGGGCGGGGCGGGGCGGGGCCCTGCGGTGCTAGCCCGGGGGCCATCCTGGGCCTGGGAGGCGGCTCCGGCAATTCTAACTGCATCCCGGCCTCTGCGCGTGTCCTAGGTGCCGGGCCGTTGCGAGCCCCGGACTTGGGGATGGCGCGCGGGTCAGGTGGCACAGGGTGGGCACGACCGCAGTGTGGAGGGGTCACCTGCTCTCCTCCCAGTCCCGGGGCCTCTTGGTCTCGTTAGGCTTGATGCAGCGGATGTAGTGGGGCGTGCACCTCTTCAGCGTGGCCACCAGGTCGTTGGCTTGTTTCTGGGTCACAGGAGAAGGCAGGGTAAGGGGTGCACCGATGCCTCTCCGCTCCACCCCTCTGTTCCCAAGACACTTTTGTTGTTGTTTTCTGGTTCTGGGGATTGAACTCAGTCAGTGCCTTTGCACTGAGCTACATCCTCAGCCCCTCTTTTTTTTTTGGTACTAGGGATGGAACTCTGGTCCTTGTGCCTGAGAGGCAGGCGGCTGAACCACTGAGCTAAATCCCCGGCCCATCCTCAGCCCTTTTTTGAGACAGGGTTTCACTAAGTTGCCCAGGCTGGGCTTGAACTTGCAATCCTCCTGCCTCAGCCTCCCAGAGTGCTGGGATTATAGCCGTGCACCGCTATGCCTGGCTTGAGTGGTGCATTTCAGTCACCCCAGGGAAAAGGGGGTGCAGTCTGAAAATCATTCCAGATGGGGGGGCACGGGCGGAGCGGTATTCAAGACCCAGGCTCTGCTGTGTGACCAAGGTGAGTGACTGCTCTTCTCTGAGCCTTGGTTTGTCCACCTCCCAGGTGGGGCCGAGCGGGATCTCCGTGTATGTAAAGTGCCCCCGACTGCCACCAGCACCAAGCAAGTGCTCAATAAATGATTGTTAGCTTTTAATCCTAGCATTCTGGAGGCTATGGCAGGGGAATCACCATGAGTTTGATGCCAGCCCGGACTCCGAACAAGACCCTATCTCAAAACCAAACAAACAGTCGTAGCATATTATCAGGCTGGGACCCCATGTTCACAGCAACATGAGTCACAGTAATCAGGGGATGGAAGCAAACTAAATGTCCCCCAGATGAATAAATGGACAATGATGTGGCCCATCCTCACAGTGGATTATTATTTAGCTATAAAAGGAGGGAAATTCTGACACATGCTACAACATGGATGGAACTTGAGGACAGGGCACCGGGTGAAACCAGCAGACCCAAAATGACAAGTTCTGTGCAATTCCGTGCCTAGAAAGTCCCCAGAGTGCTGAGGGACACAGAGACAGGAAGTCGAAGGCGGGTGGGCAGGGCTGGGGAGGGGTGGGAACTTCGTGTTTCTTGGGGACCTAGGCCCAGCTTGGGAGGTGAGACTGCTCCAGAGGTGGCGGTGGGAACAGCCGTACAAGCACGTGAATGTGGTCAATGCCACTGAACTGAAAGGTGGGAAAATGGGCAACTGCACGGTCGTAAATTTTACCGAATTAAAAGGAAAAGCGGGTTGGGAGTGGAGCTCACGTGCAAGGCCCTGCGGTTCCAACCCTAGCACCAATAACAGATGCAGGCAGGGCAGGGGGACCCAGCCGCCCCGTGCCCAGGCCCACCTTGATCTTGGAGCCTGCGGTGCTGGGCCGGCCCTTCTTGTCCATGTCCAGCTTCTCGGGAAAGAGCATCCGGAGGAAGGCCCTGGGCAGGGGATGCGGGTAAGGGAGCAGCCAGACTTTGGAGCAGCCTGGCCCAGAGATGGGGCTGCCCCAAGGTTACTGTGCGAAATACAGGTCTGTCTGGGTGTGGACAGGAGCCGCATTGGGGAGAGGGAGGGTTGGGGCTGTCCTGGTCCCTTGATTTAGCCGCACTTTTTAGTCTGTGTGATCACTGTTGCGCTTTCTATTGAGATGTCCCCCTAAGCCTAATGTGATCTGAGAGAGGACCCTGGAAGGTGACATTAGGGACATTAGAGCTTTTGGGAGGTGGGGCCTGGTCAGAAGAGGAGGTCACTGAGGGCATGGCCTGGAAGGGTTTATCTCCCTTTTTGGCTCCTCCTTGACTCTCTTTGCTTCCTGACCGCCATGAGGTGAGCAGCTTTTTCTCCTCCAGGCCCCTCAGCCATGATGCCCTGCCTTGGACCCAGCTGACTATGGACTGAAACCTCCACAGCTGTGAGCCAAAATAAACCCCTCCCTCTTTAATTGCAGGTGATATTTACACACAATGGAGTCATGCTTTTCCATAAAGAAGAAACAAGTTATGCGTAGGAAAATGAATGCACCTTGAGACCATAATGTTGTGACATAAATCAGACACACGAGCTTAAGTATCGGATGGTTTCTCTTATACAAGAGACCCAGGATATATATAAAGAACAAAATAAAAGATAGATGATAGGAAGTAGAGAGATAGGTCTTTCTCAAATGGGAAGGGCCTCAAGAGGTGGAGGAGGGGAAGGGAGGGAAGGGGAAGGGGATGAAAAAAGAATTAAGATATGTTATGTACATGCACCAGCTCCACACAAAGAATGTAATCATTATGTACTGCAAAATTACTAATAAAAAACTAAAAACTAAAAAAAACAACAAAACTGAGACAATCATGTATGATTGGGTAGCAGGTAAAATAGAAGAAATGTAAATTAAGTAGAAAACCATATCAGTGAGTGATGTATCTTGGGCAATGGGGCAGGCCTCCTTCCGGGAACAATCCTACATCTGTCCAAAGAAATAAATTCAAAGATGCTCGCTGCCTCACCTCATGTGTGGTAGCCACAGATGGGAAACATGCTAATTGCTTGCCAGCTCGAACTGCCTAAATCACCTTGGTCATTCAGCACACCTCCCCTCCCCTCAGTAAGACTTTCCCTCAGCACCTGACAGAAAAATCAGTGGGGTAGTTTACAGGTGTGGGGTTTCCATTTAGGATGATGAAGAAGTTCTGGAACTAGATAGGAGGGATGGTTGCAGAACACTGTATGTGAATGTCTTTAATGTCAATAAATTGTACACTTCAAGTGGTTAAAAATAGCTGGGTGTGGTGGTGCATGCGTATATCCCAGTACTCGGGAGGCTGAGGCAGGAGGATTGCTTGAGTCTGAGGCCAGCCTGGGCTACATAGTGAGTTCAAGTCCAGTCTGAACTACACAGCGAGACACTGTGTCAAAAAACCAGCCAACCAACCAACCAACCAACTAACTAAATAAAATCTATGTTATATGTTTTACCACAATTAAAATATGTGGATTTTTTTTTTTTTGGTATCGGGGATTGAACTTGGGTCCTTGCGCTTTTGAGGCAGGTGGCAGAACCACTGAGCTAAATCCCCGGCCCTTACCACAATTAAAACAAGGGATGAATGTTCTTCCCTCTCTAGTGTTTCACCTACTTAGTTTTTCTTTACAGCTCTTCCCGGTGGTTCTCAGACTTCAGCAGGCATCAGAATGTCCAGGGAAATTTGTGAAAATACACACTGTCACGCCCCACTGATGGGTTTCTCATCCACAGGTCTGGACTATGGCCCAGTAATTTCCAACAAGTTTCCAGGCCATGTTGATGGTGCTGGTCTAGGAATCCCACTTGGAAAACCATAGCTCTAGTTCTGTGCTTTTCCAGTATGGCGGCCACTGGGCTTCCAAAATGGCAGCCATTGGTCACATGTGACTAGTTAGGTCCTTGAAACGTGGCCTATCCACCATTGAGATATGTATAGTGAACATGCCATAATCCCTGCACTCTGGGAGGCTGAGGCAGGAAGATTTAAAGTTCAAGCCCAGCCTAGGCAACTTAGTGACTTAGCAAGACTATCTTAAAAAATAAAAAAGATTGGGGATGTAGCTCAGTGTGAAGGCCCTTGGTTCCATCCCCCAAAGCCAAAACAAAGCAAAACCACTGCGACAATTTGGACAAGATTCTCTGGATGGAACACTGGTTAATGCCAACTCCTGCCTTGGGTTTCCAAGGCCAATAAATGGAAGGTACACTTCTCCCCTTTTGCCTGTAGAACTTGCAAACTTTCCCTTTGGGCTAAGGACACACACACAGGAGGCCCTGGAGTCCATCCTCAGCACCATAAGCAGTCAATCAATCAGTCAATCAACCAATCAACCAATCATTCAGTCTTCCCCTTGTCTCCGCTTCCTTGCGGCCCTGTTGGCCCTGGCGTGCACGTTCCTACTGCAGTGCTCTGCTCTTCCCAGTCAGATGTCTGAGACTCTGATTTCTGTCGATGTTGGTGTCATATTCCATGCGTCCCTGCTCTGGTTCAAGTTCAGTCTCTCCACGTCCCTGTCATTCAATGACAATGGCTGTGTTCTCCGACGAGGTCTCTGTCTCATCCCCCACAGGTGCCGGTGCTGCCCAGGATTGGGTAACTTTTTTTTTGGTACCAGAGATTGAACTCAGGACCTTGTGCTTGCGGGGCAGGTGGTGGCATCACTGAGCTAAATCCCCAGCCCTGTTTTGTTTTATTTTTGCCAGGGCTGGGGATAGAACCCAGGGCCTGGTGCATGCTGGGCAAGTGCTCACACTGAGCTGCACCCTCCGAGGGCCCCTAAAGTCACTGTTATTTATTTATTTCACTAGTATGCCTGCCATGCATAATGGATACAATCATCCTGGGGAGCTGGCACAAGTCCATACTGGATCTTAATCTGTTTTACTTCTCCTTCTTTCCCTCCCTTCCATCTGGAAAAGGTCTACCTGCCTGCTTCCTATCATTCACCTTTTGTTTTGCTCTTTAAATTATTTATACTTTGGGTTTCCCACATAAGAGAAACTGTGCTATTTAACTGTCTGCCTGTCATTTATTTCACTTAGCGTTGCAATCTCAAGTTGCATCCATTTTCCTACAAGTGGCTCAAATGTACTCTTCTTTATGGCTGAGTAATACTCCACAGTGTGTAAATACCACATTTTCTTTATTCATTCATCTGTTGATGGACATAGAGGCTGTTTCCAAGATTTATAGTTATTTTTAGATCGGAACCACCCTGGGGAAGACAAAGTGTTCCCCCAAGGGGCTTCTGCCCGAGTTCCCCACGCCCGGGACCACTCACTGCTCACTGGTCTGCATCAGCTCTATGAGATCGGAGAAGAGGACATCTCGGTTCCTCTCGCAGAAGCCGCTGATGTCGTAGGAGACCTGGAGGGAGGTGTCATCGAGGGGGGGTGAGGGGTGCAGAGCTGGGGTGTGGGGTGGGGCGAGGGCAGCCCAGGTGGTCACCCGTGAGTGGATGGGTTATCTAGGTGTCTGCCATGGGGGTTCAGGATGGTGAGTTGGGGGTTGCTGCTTGGGTCAGACTGGAGGGCTGGGGTCTGTGGCTGGGCCCGGGTGGGCTGGGGTGGGTCCCCCTGGGATCTGCTGCTTAATGTGAAGTCCAGGTGAGACTGGGTCTCACCTGGGAGGATGGGGGTCCACAGCCGGGGCTGTGACCCCTGGGTTGTGGGCTGGCTCTGCCGTCTAGGGTACCCTCCGGGCTGGGGACACAGGCGCTGTATCCCATTTTAGGGCCTGGTGGGAGGCCTGTTAGGCAGGGAACCCCTGGGAGTATCTGCCTCCTCTGCTGATCTCGAGGGGCCTCACAGGGAGTCCTATAGCCCTGTCCACTGGGGAAGGGGCTGCGGCCAGGATCGGAGGCCAGGAGATTCCTGTAGTCCCAAGTTGGAGCCCATAGGGATCTCGGGTCACTTTTGGTGGCTTGCAGCATGGGCCTGGGGCCTCTGGGACTTGCTTTCCAAGATGGGGGGGGCAGTGTCCTGGATCATTGGGTGTTAGTCTGTACTGGGGCAGAGGGGAGGGTCTGTCTGTCTCTTGAGGGGCTGCCCTGTGAGGCGAGTGAGCTGTGGCAGTGATGGGGCTCTGTCTGTGTGCATGGGGTGCGGGTGGCCTGCAGGAGATTTCCTGGGGCTCATGAGAGGTCCCCGGTCAGGGGTGGGGGTTTAGGGGCCAGAGAGCTGAGTCAGTGGAGCCCTACAGGGGGTCGGGACAGGGTCTCTGGAGTCTGGGAGTTAGAGAGCCACTACCTGGAGTCACTGGGGGCTGTATGGGCCCCCCCAGGGGACCAGGGTGACACCCGGAGTCACGCACTTTGCCCGCATAGTGGTGGATGACGAAGCCGGAGCTCCAGCTGTTGAAGTGCTCGTGGGTGCCCACTGCCGCCTGCAGTTTCTGCAGTAGCGTCTGGTCCGCGCCGCCGCCCGTGGCGTGCATGGTGGCGCACACGTCGTCCAGCACGCTCATGATGCCCGGGGGGCTCTGCCAGGTGAGCCCAGTTGGGGGTCAGCTGGTGGGGCGGGGGAGGGGGTGTGTGGCCCTGCCCCATCCCGCTGGCCAGCACGGACCGAGGGAGGGAAGGGGTGAAAAATGGTGGGCTGTGGGGGGCTTCCAATTGAACAGAAGTGGTAATAGGGAAGAGGCTTGTCATCTTAACACTCAGGAGGCTGAGGCAGGAGGATTGCTCAAGTTCCGGGTCAGCCTGGGCTACATAGAGAGCTCAAGGCCAACCTGGACTAAAACAAAAACAGAAGGAAAACAACAACAACAACAACAATAAAAACCAGTGGTGGCAGGGGGCCTGTTTATGAGGGGCAGCTGCTGTGGAAGCTCCCTGGAGCAGGAGGGGGTGGGGCACCCTGTAAGGAGCCCAGTCCTCTTTCCCTTCCAGAGACTTCATGGAGGGAGACTTGTTAAGTTTATCCTCTGTGACTCTGAGTAGGGGAATGTTTGTTGACTGAATAAACAAAAAACAAGCCAGAGGGCAGAATCAACAGGTGAGGTGGCTGAAGGGGTTTTTCAGCTGTGCTCCCTCTGCTGCAGGCCTTGGGCCTAGGGTAAAGCAAGGGCCCACGGGAGCCATAACCCATGCCGGGATCGCCCAGTCTCGGCTCCAGTGAGACCCCCGCCCCAGGGTGGCCCAGCCCTCACCAGCTTGTTTTCGATGAGGTCGCAGACGACTTTGTTGTTGAAGTACTCGATGGGGGTCCAGCGGATGCCCTCCTGTACGTACTCCTCCTGGGCATGGAGAGGGGTGGGTGGGGCGGGGAGGAAGTGTGACCAGGGCTGCTCCCCACTTCCGGTCCTTTGACCACAACCAGCAGCAGCCAGTGCATAAACGCCCTTGCGCCCTTATTTCAGCTCTTTTTTTGGGGGGGGGGGATGGGTTGATGTTGCCCAAGCTCAAAATCTTGGGCTTGACGAACCCTCCTGCTTCAGCCTCCTAAGTAGCCTGAACAACAGGTTCCCACCACTGCACTCAGCTAGTCACTGTTAAGTGAATGAGCTTGGAAGCTATGGACCAGCACTGTCCAGGATTTACAGGCGGAAGGAAACCTTGCGTGGAGTCTGGGCAGGTGCCACAGTTTGGGCTCTGCATGTGTCCCAAAGACCTGTGCATGGAGGGCTTGATGCCCAGGGTGGTGCTGTTGGGAGGTGGTGGAGGTAGTGGGAGCACTTTAGGTCATTGGGGGTGTGGCCTTGTATGGGACTGGATGACTCTGGCCCCTCCTCTTCTTCCTCCTCCCTTTCCCCTTCTCCTCTTCCCTCCTGCCTCCCTGGCCATGAGGTGGGCAGTCTGTCCTGTCCTGTGCTCCCCACCATTGCCACCTGGCACCCCCAGAGGCCTGAAGCCATGAGTCTGCTGGATCTTGGACCCCAGTCTCCAAAGTCTCCAGAAACCTTTTCTTTTTATAAGCAGATCACCTCTCACCTCGGCGTTTCATTACAGTGATGGAAAGCTGGCGAACAACAGAAAAGTAGAGTGACGCGGGAACAGGATGCTGGCGTGTCCCTGTGGCTCAGTGACTCCTATGCCTGACCCCACCCCGAGTACCCTGCCCACCTGCTCGGCCTTCAGAGTGAGCTCGATGAAGATCTGCTGCAGCTTTTCATTGACGAAGTTGATGCAGAATTGCTCAAAGCCGTTTTTCTGCCAAGGGAGGAAAGGTCCCGGTTAGTATGCTGGTGCTAGAGGCCTTGGTGGCACTGGGCTGCCTGGAGGTTGCAGGAGGACAGGATGTGGGTTGGGGTTGGGGCCCAGTGAGCAGACCTGGAAGATCTCAAAGCCGTAGATGTCAAGCACTCCGATGCTGTACTCTTCCTGGGGCTTCTGCATTGCGCGGTTGATGGCCTGCAGGGGGTGGACAGCAGGTCACACCCAAGTACACTTCTCTCTTTCTCTCTGTGTCGGTGCTGTCACATGTGAGGCAAACGCTCTACCACTGAGCTACACCCCTCATCCTTTTAATTTATTCTTAAAATTTTGAGACAGTGTCTCGCTATGTTGCCCAGGCTGGCCTTGAACTTGGGATTCTCCTGCCTCAGCCTCCCAAGTATCTGGGATTACAGGTGTGTGTCATGGCACTCAGCACCCACCCCCCCCAGGCTCTTAGCCAAGTGCATGAGCTGTGTCTCCTCTCAGCAGTTTCTTTCTTGCTCTGAGTCCAGTCCCCCTACCTTCCCATCAGCCACCCAGAGAAGAAACCCAAGTGCCAGAGTGCTGGGGACTCTGTCTGTGCCTCTATTTTCCTGTCTCTAAAATGGGTGAATAACAGTAAGGTCTGTGGGTGTGGCCCTGTTGTAGGCCTTTTGTCTAGACACAGGAGGCTCTGGGTTCCACCTCTAGCAACATAGCAAAAATAACTAATTAAATAAGCAACTACAGGTTGAGGATCCCTTATTAGATTTTGGGGGGGTTGGTGCTAGGGATGGAACCAGGGTCTTGCTCATGTTACCAAATGCCCTACTACTGAGCTACACCACCAGGCCTGAGTGTCCTTTATTAGAAATGCGTGCATACAAAAATATTTCAGGGGCCAGGTATTTAGCTCAGTGGTGCCGCCACCTGCCTCACAAGCACAAGGTCCCGAGTTTGATCCCTACCAAAAAAAAAAAAAAAAAAAAATTCAGGTTTTGGATTTGGGAATATTTGCACAGATAGATAAAAATCTCAGGGATGGAACCCAGTTCAAACACAGAATTAATTTGTGGCACACATATACATTGTACACATAATCCAAAGGTCATTTTATTTTATTACTACCTAGACCCAACATTTATTAATATTTGCTATATCCAAAGGTCATTTTATGTACTATTTTGAATGCATCTGCGTTCCCCCCCACCCCCAGGTACTGGGGATTAAACTCAGAACCTTCACGTTGAGCTATATTTCCCAGTATTTTAAAAAAGTTTTTAAAATTGTGAGACAGGGTCTTGCTATATTGCTAAGTTACTCAGGCTGGGCTTGGACTTGTCTCAGCCTTCTAGATTGCTGGGATGACAGGTGGGCACCACCGCACCCAGTATGCATCTACATTTTGATTTTGATCCCTGCCTGTGAGGTCAGGGTTGGAATTTTCCACTCGTGGTGTCCTGTGGGTGCTCAAAAATTTTGGATTTTGGAGCATTTCAGATTTGAGAGTTTCAGATTAGGAACGCTCAATCTGTACCTCATAAAGCTTTTTCTGAGGATGCAAGGTGACACATAAAACACTTAGGACCGCGCACACTGAGAGCTACACAAGTTTGCTGAGGTTGTGATTATTCTTGGTCCTGGCACATCCTGTTCTCCAGCTCCATCCAACATCCATCACTTCGTCTCCTTGATACCCTTCCGCATGGCTCTCAAATGAATCTGCCTGTCCATCCCTGCTAGGGTTGATATCTAGACATCCCGAGAGCCTCATGTGCTCATTGGCTGGGCTTTCTGAAAGGTGATTAGATTGTAGGGGCTTAGGGCGGACGTGCTCTTAGGAGGTGGGATCTGATTGGAAGAGATGTCCCTGGGGGCGTGGCCTGGAAGGGTTTTCCTCCTTCCTTAGCTCCTCCCTTCACTCGCTGCTTCCTGACCCGGAAGCCTGTCTCCTCCGCCAGGCCCCTCTGACATGCGCCTTGCCTTGGAGCCAGCCAACTATGGACTGAAACACGAGCTAAAATAAACCTCTCCTTCCTACGTTGTGGGTGTTGGGTATTTTGTCCCAACAAGGAGGGAAGGAACTGAGACAGTGCTTGGCACCCAGATCCCAGCCTTGTCTTCCACCGGATCCACGGCTACCCAGGTGGAAAGCCGCCCCCAGCCCCGGCCAGGAACTGGTGACACTATGACGGTTGTCCCCACTTGGCTGGTCCAGGGCCACCCGACAGCCCCAGCCCTGGCCCCACTCGCCTCCACCAGGAAGTCGAAGAGGCGGGCATAGAGCCCCTTGGCCAGGGCGTCGCGGGTGTACGCGGCCTGCTCCACATTGAGGGTCACGTCGATGGACTCACTGCGTCCGCCCCAGCGGCTGTCCATCTTGCGGCTGGTCAGCTTCTCCTGCAGCCGGCCGCTGTTGATGCCCAGCAGGTAGGCAGGAAAAGCCAGGACTGCCAGGCCCGGGCCAAGGGGGCAGCTGGTCAGGCTCTTGGGGCTCACGCGGGAGCCTCCCTTTTTCTCCATCGCCCCCTAGTGGGCTCTGAACGAGAAGCAAGCGGCCTCCACCTCCCTCCCCAGCACCCTCACTCACGGTCTGTGCTCTCCACCCGGGCGTAATTTCCCTCTTCGCAGAAGCTGATGTTGCCCAGGTGTAATATCCCGGCCACGAGCTGCAGGACCAGCTGCTGGATGCTGGGTGGAATCCCAATGACTTGCATGGCGCTCTGTGGGCACAGCGGGGACAGAGCCTGTGCCGCCAGCCTTGGTCTCCGCCCTGCCCCAGGGTCAGGGTCCTGGACCTCGACACAGGCTTAGGGAGGAAGACATTTGAGTGCTTGACTTGCCTCAGTCCTCCGCTTGCTGTGGGACCTTGGTGAGTCCCTGCATCTCTCCTCTGCCTCATTCACAGCACCAGCCCTTCCCCGGACTGAGGGAGCCGCCCGGAGGCTGCCTGGCAGCCAGTGCTCACCAGGGTCTCATTGAAGTCTCGCTGGTCGTCGGTGCCGTCCACCTTGTAGGTGTCCGACTGGTTGAGGTAGTAATAGTAGTCGGGCGTCATGAGCCCCAGGTTCTGGCGCTGCTCCTGGGAGGCCCCTTCCAGCAGCTGGGGGGGGGGCGCTCGTGAGTCCGGGACTGGCCTCTCCTGGCCCCGGGTCTTCCTGCCTCGCTGGCTGTCACTGGCTCGGAGGCACCAACCTCCCCCGCACCTGGGATGATCCAGGGCCCCCGCTTCTCCGCCCCTGGCCCCCTCTCCACACCTGATAATAGATGTGAAAATTCCTCTCGTCCTCATTCTGCATGACCACGCGCGACTTTTCCAGCAAGAAATTGGAGATCTTGCCCCCGTCTGGCTCCCCGCCTCGGCTGAACTGGATCTCAAAGTACTTGCCCTGCACGCCAGAGCATCGCATCAGCCCCCCAGGGCCCCGGGCTGCAGGTGGGCAAGGCTTAGGGCTGGGTATGGGCCTTGAGCAGCCATTCTCTCTTCAGCATCTGCTCACTGACTGCTTGCCCTGTCACCAGCTCCTTCCCTTGGGCCTCAGCTCAGGCTGTGCCCTGGGCCCCCAGTGCCCACCCTTTCCATCCCTTCTGATTCTCCAAGTTCTCACTCAAGGCATCCAGGCCTGTGTACATCACTCTTTTGGTTTTTTTTGAGACAGGGTCTCAGTGTGTAGCCCAGGCTGGCCTTGAACTCACAATCCTCCTGCCTCAGCCTCCCAAGTGCTGGGATTATAGGAGTGGACCCCCATGCCTGGCATGTTCATCACATTTTTTTTTTTTGGTACTGGGGATCAAACTCAGGCCTTTGTGCTTGTGAAGCAGGTGCGGAACCACTGAGCTAAATCCCCAGCCCATGTTCATCACATTTTATTGATCACTTCCCAGGTCCTCCACCATAACTCAGAGACCTTCACGTCTCTATGGGATGCTATGGATCCTAATGGTCCTTGGGAGTTTCCCCTTCGTTCTCCCTGAGGCCGGCCAAGTGCCCCAGGGGCCCCTTCTTTGAACTCTAACATCGTCTGGGTTCTGCCCCGGCCAGAGGTTAGAGGGCAGCAAAGTCCTCTTACTTCTCCTTTCTACCACTTTTTTTTTTTTTTTTTTTTTGGTACCAGGGATCGAACTCAGGTCCTTGCACTTGCGCAGCAGGCGGCGAAACCACTGAGCTAAATCCCCGGCCCTCCTTTCTACCACTTTTACCTACCTCCATCCAGTAATGATACAAATCACGTCATCATCCCTTACAAGTAAACACCATAACATATAGCTACTTATTCTACTGCACACTGAAATTCCATAACAAAGTGTATATGTGTTTCGAGGATCATCTTTGTTTTCGTGTGTATTGATAGTTTGAAAGCAAATACTGTGTGGTTCCATTCACATGAAGTTCTAGAACAGGTAAAACTAGTATAGTATGTGGCAAAAAATAAACCAGAAGAGCAGTTACTTCTGGGGTCAGTTGACAGTAGAGATTAACTGGAAAGGGACAAGAGAGAACCTGTGGCGATGCTCTGTATACTGACAGGGGTCTGGGATACACAGGTGTATGTTTGTCCAGACGCAGAAGCTGCAAATTTATATTGGACAATAATGATTCACATGCTGACTTTTTCTGGGGGGGAACAGGTAGTTGCTTTGCAGTGTATCCAAAAATAAAGTGGTCCCCATAAATATGTTAAATTATGATATGTCAATAAAATAATATCAGTGGATGGAAATATGTGCAGCAAGGAAAGGTTGAGTCTCTTGCCAAAATGCTTGAGATCAGAAGTGTTTCATATTTTAGATTTTGAAAGATTTGCATCCACATAATGAGACATCCTGGGAATTGTCTCAACATGGAATTCCCTTATATTTCATATACAATTTATATGTAAGATCTGAGGGTAATTTCATGCACTATTTTTGTTTGTTTGTTTTTGGTACCAGGGATCGAACTCAGGACTTTACGCAAGGCAGGCATGGTACCACTGAGCTAAATCGCTGGCCCCAAAAGCTTTTGAATTGTGGAGAAATTCAGATTTGCAGATTAGGTGTGCTCAACCTGTATAGTAAAATATTGATAAGAGTCTAAGAGATGAGCACACAGGTGTTCCCTGTGATACTCTTTCAATTTTTATGTGTATTTGAAAAAATATAATACAACAGGACAAATATTTAAAATGTAATTGTATGAAAAATAGATTTGAAATAATATAAGAATATTTAGCGAAATAAAACCCTTATTAATGAATGGAATTGGTCAGGCCATTTCTATATACAGAGATTGTAGTGAAATTACTGAGGTCTATGAGATGGATATTAACACCAACTCCATTTTATGAATGAGAAAATAGAGGACAGGAGATCACATCATTTTTTTTTCATCTAGACTACACAGCTAAATAGTGCCAGAATTGGGTCTTAATCCAGATCTGCTTCCCTATTCTGTCTTCCACTGGGCCAAGCATAGCACCACACACACACACACACACACACACACGCAAACACGCACACACTACTTCCCAAAAATTATTTGTTGAAAGAAAGAATGAATGAGGGAATAAACTGGACCTGAAATGTGAAAGGGAACCTAGGTGGCATGGTTGCAGCTAGGGGAATATTTATGAATGTTACACAGATGTGTCATGGCTGCTTCCTTCCAATGGGGGACCTTTTTTCAAATGGACCATGAACAGAAAGTGAATCTCCCATCCAGAAGTAGGTGTTTCCTGCTGGATTTCCCCAGGGCTCTGGTTCTGGGAATACAGTGTGTGTGTGTGTGTGTGTGTGTGTGTGTGTGTAGCTGGGGTTGTAGTGTGACTCACAAAACGGCTGGAATTGTTGTTGCGCACAGTCTTGGCGTTGCCAAAGGCCTCCAGCAGTGGGTTTGACTGCAAGATGATGTCCTTGACATGCTGGGGGGCAGAGGCAGGTGGGAAGAGGTCAGTCTAGGTCAGGTGGACGGGGGTGGGTGGAGATGAACCACTGGGCAGCTGGGGGAACCCAGCCGCTCCTTCTGTTCTTGTCTCCTCACCTGGACCTTCTCTCCCCCGCCAGACACCTTGGAGATGTAGCCCATGATGTACTTGGCAGCCACTGTCTTGCCAGCTCCACTCTCTCCACTGGGATAGATGGAGAAAGGAATGGTCAGTGGGTAAGAGTGTGAGGAAGGGCCTTTTTGAGCATCTGAACATCCATCCATCCATCCATCCATGGAGCATCTACTGTGTGTCATGCACTATTCCAGGTTCATTATTCCACGGTGGACAAGAGAGATAGAAATCCCTGTCCTCATGGTGCTGGCATGTAGAGGGAACAGATGAACAATTACAGAATGAATACAAACATAAAATGTATCAGGAGTCAAATGGTTCAAGGAAAGTAAGGCAGGGCTGGGGGGTGGTACAGAGAGGGACAGAAAGGCAAAGCGGTCTGGGGAAGTGGGGACCATGGGCAGGAGGCCCAGAGCCCCTGCCTCCTACCTGATGATGACACACTGGTTCTCACAGTCGATGAGCATGTTCCGGTACATGTTGTCCGTGAGGGCATAGATGTGTGGAGGGTTCTCATACTGTGCCTGGTCGGGGAAGGCAGGGCTCAGCCCAGGGCTAGGGCCTGAGGGTCTCAGGTTTGTTCTTCCCACTGAGCCCCGGCCTTACCGCACCCTGGTAGAGGTCGATCTCACGGTCAGTAAAGTAGGGCATCTGCTTGAAAGGATTTACAGAGATGAGCACCGAGCCGATGTAGGTCTGGAGGCGTTAAGGCCGATGCAGTGTCTGCTGGGTCCCTTGAGGACCCCGTTCTCTTTCTGTCCCCATGCAGCCTCCCAGAGCCCATGGCTTGGACAGGGAGATGGAGATACTCGGTAGGAAATCACAGGGCTGTGGTGCACTCCTGTCATCCCAGCATTCTGGGAGGCCGAGGAAGGAGGGCTGAAAATTCACGCCCAGCCTGGGCAGCTTAGTGACTTAGCAAGACCTTGTCTCAAAACAAAACATAAAAATAAAAAATAAGAAAAGGGCCAGGGATGTGAAGGTCTTGGGTTCAATCCCTAGTACAAGAAAAGGAGAAGAGAGGGGGAGGGAGAATGCGGAGGAAAGGGAGGAGGGGGAGGAGCAGGAAGAAGAAAAAGAGGAAGAGGAGGAGAAGGAGAAGGAGAAGGAGGTAGAGGAAGAGGAAGAAGAATGGCGGCAACAATAACAACGACAACAACAACAACGACCAAACAAAAACAAAAACAAAAACAAAACGAGGGCTGTGTCCAGAAACCCGGAAACAATGCTCTGTGGCTGAGCTGCTCCAACCATGTTGTCAGTTCATTGGTCCTCCACCCTCCCAAATGGTGGTCCCCAGCCTTTTTGGAACCCAGGATAAGTTTTGTGCAAGACAGTTTTCCCACGGGCTGGGGCAGGGGCTTGGTTCAGGGCTATGCACGGCAGGGAGCGCCCTAGACCCAGCGCATGCGCCATTCCCAGTAAGTGGGGGGTGGGGGGGGGTGGTCCCCTTCTAGACCCCGCGCATGCTCTGTTTGCAGCAGGGTTCACGCTCCTCTGAGAATCGAACCGGGTGCTGATCCTACAGAAGGCAGTAAATGCCTCCTGCTGTGTGGCCCCGTTCTGTGGCCCCAGGGTTGGGATGGGGACCTCTGCTCCAAAGGACTGCCTCACTGCCCACCTGCACGTCCTCCTGCGCTCTCTCATCCCTCCCTCTGTTGCTCAGTTGTCCTCCCTCCCCTCTGTCCCGCCCCACCCTCCGCGCAGGATACAAAGATGTAGTCGTCCATGAAGCGCTTGCGGAGGTTGCTCACGATGGCGTCCTCGGTGATCTGGGGCAGGAGCACCATGTCGTCCACACCGCTCTGCTTCACGTTATGGCTTTGCCAGTGGAAGCGCTCCTTGCTGCCCTGGAGTGAGGACCATGGGACAGCTGTGAGCAGCTGGCAAGATCCTGTCCCGGCTCTCTCCCCTCAGGACGCGGCCATGCCAGGCCCAGCGCCAGCACCAGCACCTGTCCAGGGAAAGTCCCCCTCCCAGACCAGGGGCCTCAGGAGGTGGGGACTAGGGCCGGGCAAGTCCTTTCTTAGCCCTATCAAATAAACAAAGGCCAAAGGCAAAGAGAGGAACTCAGCTTTAGCCATGTGTGGTAGCACATGGCTGTCATCCCAGCACTCTGGGAGGCTGAGGCGGGAGGATTGCAGGTTCCAGCACAGCCCGGCACTCAGTGACTTAGCCTTAGTGAGACCCTGTCTTAAAAAAAAAAAAAAGATCTGGATGTGTAGCTCAGTGCAAAGACCCTGGCTTCAGTCCCTAGTACCAACCACCCTCCTGAAGGAACCCAGCTTCAGGGGAAAATCCCCATGCAAAAGATGCTGGAAATCAAAGCCAACTCTAAACAGGGCCCACATTTGGCAGCAGATTCCAGGAAAGGGAGATGGGTGTGTGGGTCAGAAAGGATATGGCAGGATCAAGAGGAGGGTGAACATGGGCAGACCGGGTGAGGCCATGCCCAGTCACGGAGGCTTGGCTGAAGAGCCGGTTTCTCCTGGGGGAACTAGGGAGCCACAGAATGTTCTTGAGGAGGGGGAGGAATGAGTATCCTCAGATTCTTACATGCAGAGAGCGAGCAGGGGTGGGGGTTGGTTGAGGAATGTCCATCGGTATTCAACGGGCCAGCCTTTGGCATAGGGATAGATCTGGGTTCTAATCCTGGCTAGGTAACTTAATACTCCCATGAGCCTCAATTGCCCCGTCTGTAAAATGGGAGAAACGGCCCCATTTCTCAAGCCTGATATTCGGATTAATTGATTTGGGGAACAAGGTGAGGTGGGTCCCTACCCCTGACTTTTGGGGTAGGTGCATGGCAGTTGTGTCACCGTATCAGCCAGGGAGACTGAGGCTCAGAGAGTAGAGTGATCTTTTTGTTTGTTTGATTTTTGAGACAGAGCCTTGCTATGTAATCTAAGCTGGCCTTGGACTCATGGTGATCCTCATGCCTCAGCCTCCTGAGTGCTGGGATCACAGGCGTGTACCAGGCAATTCCACAGAGAATTCTGGAGCTCCTACGGGGTGCTAGAACCTGAGTCTGTTAGGGTTTATAGCTAGATGTCTCCTCAAAGCCTCACACACGCAAACGTGGGGCCTCTGAAGGGTGACTCCTGGGAGTGCTATAGTTAAATGTGCGGTGGGGGGGGGCAAGTTGGAAGAGGTGGCCCCGGGGGCGTGGCCGGGAGGGCGTGGCTCTGAAGGGTTCCCCCCCCTCTGGCTCCTCCCCTCACTCGCTGCTTCCTTGCCGGCGTGATGCGAGCCGCCCTCGTCCACTGGGCCCTTCCTGGCTGCTTAATGCCAGTCCATCCTTTGCTTCTCTCAAGTGCTGTGCCCTGCAGGAAGACTCCCCTGACTGCAGGCCACGCGGTGCTTTCTCTGAGCCCCCTTTGGCCTCTGGGTGTTCCTCACCATAGCTCTGTCCCATACTGGATGCTGTGCACATCAGCCTGGTCTGTGCCCACCCCAGGAGGGAGGGGGATCGTGGTATGCCTCGCTGAACAAGGCATCAGGGCGCATTTGAATGAAGGAAGGAATGCAGGAAAGCAGGAGTGAATGAATGAATGGAGGTGAGGTCAGCCAGAGTCCATTCTGTGGGGCCTTGAATGCCAAGCCAAGGACTTCAGGCTCCATTGTTCAGCTGTAAGCGTGGGGCAGTTCTCAGCCAGGACTCACGTTCTGGGGTCACGACTGGAATTGTGGGATCATTTTTGTGGTCCTAGAGGTGGGTGGTGTTTAGCAATTGGGGGCTCTGGGAGGTCTCATATTTGCACGCAAGTGATTATCCTGCCTCAGCCTCCTAGCTCCCCCAGGCAGGTGTTTCTAATCACTGGAACCTAGAACCAAACTCTATGGATAAACGGAAAATCTACCAGTTGAGTATCACTAATCAAAATGCTCGGGACCAGAAGTGTTTCAGATTTTGGATTAAAAAAAATTTTTTTTGGAATAGTTGCTTGTACCTAGTGAGATTTCTTGGGGATGGGAGCCTCAATGTGAAGTTCATTTATACTTCAGCTGAGTGTGAACCAACCAACCAATCAACCAACATTCTGGAAGGCTGAGGCAGGACAGTTGCAAGTTTCAGCAATTTAGTGATTTAGAGAGATCCTGTTTAAAAACAAACAAATAAGGGGCTGGGGATTTAGCTCATTTGTTTTGCCACCTGCTGCACAAGCACAAGGACCCAAGTTCGATCCCAGGTACCAAAACAAACAAACAAACAAAAGACAAAAGGCCTGGGATGTAGCTCAGTGTGAAGGTCCTGGGTTCAACACACAGTACTGCAAAAAGAAAATAAATTTATTTATATGTTATATACACCTTCTACACATAGGTCATTTTATATACTATTTTCAGTGGATCTGAAGTTTTACTGTGGCCAGGGTTGGATGTGGAATTTTCCACTTGTGGTATTGTGTCAGCACTCAAACAGAGTCAGATTTTGGAGCACTTTGGATTTCATAGTCTTAGATTAGGCACCCTCAGCTTGTGTGTGTGTGTGTGTGTGTGTGTGTGTGTGTGGTGCTGGGGGTGAACTATATCTCCAGGCTTTTTGTTTTTATTATTTGCCCTAAGTTGGGGTCCAAGTTGCAGCTTCCTGCCTCAGCCTCCCGAAGAGCTGGGATTAGAGCATATGAACTCTTTTGGAACTGCCGGAGTCTGGATCCTGGGGATTGCACCGGATTCCCAGGGGCCTGATTTGGGTCTGCTACAAGAAGAGGGTGCTGGGGCTGGGGTGTAGCTCAGTGGTGAGCCTAGCGTGCATGGCCCCCAGCCCTGTGAAGAAAGGGTACCCCGAGAGCCCCAGCACGCTGCCGGAAGTGGGGAGCAGTGAGGTCAGAGGGGGCGGAAGTGGCAGGGAGCCTTTGACATTGACTCAGGCCCCAGGGACAGTGCGGGACTTCAGGGTCAGAAGTCACACTGGGAAGGGAGTGGTTGGGAGGACAGGAAGGACGGCCTTCAGCCAGTCTGGTTGAGAAGAGGAAGAAAAGGTCTGTGGGCTGTGTGCATTTCCTGTTTTCAAGATGGGGAGACCAAGGCCTGCTGTTGGGGATGGATGATGACCGTGAACGAATGGGTGGCATCACTCATGGGCCCGGCAGGGTGGGGAAGAGGGGCCTGCTCTTTCCCTGAGCTGATGCCTTTTGGGGGCACATTCTGGGGCTGGATGGGCAGCGCTGTGTGAGGGGCTGGGGCACAGGAAGTGGGTTCCTTCTCTGGTGAGCTTGGGTGGGTGGTTGGATGGGAAGATGGTAAACAGCAACGCCACAAGAGTTGACACCCGCTGGCCTCTGCTCGTGCAGGCCTCTGGACTGCGCTGTCTGCTCGCTGTTCTGAGAGCTCCGGATGGGGCCCGGGGAGTCCTGAGCCACACGCACAGCCTGTTCATCTTTACGTTTTGAGACAGGGTGTCACTAAGTTGTCCACGCTGCTGGTTTTTTTTTTTTTTTTGGTACTGGGGATTGAACTCTGGTCCTTGCGCTTGCGAGGCAGGTGGCCGAACCGCTGAGCTAAATCCCCGGCCCTGTCCATTCTTGAACTTTTGATCCTCCTGTGTCAGCCTCCCAAGTAGCTGGGATGACAGGTGTATGTGGTTACTCCTGGCCAGGCTAAGCTTCTTCAGTAGCGAATTCATTTCATTCACTTATTCTCTCTCTCTCTCTCCCTGTGTGTGCGTGCGTGCGTGTGTGCGTGCGTGCGTGCGTGCGTGCGTGTGTGTTGTGTGTGTTTCGGTGGCACCAGGGATTGAACTCAGGGCCTTTGCACCTCCCCAGCCCTTATTATTATTATTACTACCACTCTTATTTTATTTTGAGACAGTCACACTAAGTTCCAGGGCTCAAACTTGCAGTCCTCCTGTCTCAGCCTCCCACCGTTCTGGGATGACAGGTGTGCACCCCTGTGCCTGACTCATTCCATTTGCTGAGGGCATTACTGTGATCTGGTCTATTTTGTAGAAGACAAAACTACGGCACAGAGAGATTGGGCGACTCCCTGGAGGTCACCCAGCGGGAGAGCGTGCAGAGCAGGAGGAGCAAGCACGAAGCCATCTGGGGCTGGTGCTTCAGGTCAGATGCAGATGGACAGCACTGGCCCTGTGCGGGGTCCCTCCCACCCCAGGGCTGGCCCTGGCTTCCTGCTGCTCGGGCCCTGGGGCTGGGGTGAGATCAAAGGCCACTTCCCCTGGCCAGGTCCCGGCCTGAAGCAGCTGTCTGGCCCCACCCCAGCTGAGTGGCCTCTGCCTCTCGACCTGGCCCCCAAGACCCAGATCCCGACATTGAGCTCCTGCTGACGATAAAGATTATGACCTTGCAGAGGCCCTGGGGTATAGGAGCTGCTCAGTGCAAACTTCGTTTTTTTTTTTTTTTTCAGGACTGGGGATTGAAACGAAGGCCTTGGCACTAAGCTACATTCTCATCCCCTCCCTTTTTCATTTTTAAGTACCGGGGATCGAACTCAGGTCCTTGAGCTTGCACAGCAGGCGGTGGAACCACTGAGCTAAATCCCCAGCCCTAAGAGCAAACTTTGAATGAATGGATGAGTGAATGAATGGAGTACCACGGGGATAAGATGCCCCCTCTGTCCTGTCGAAGGAGTCTCTCTCTGTGGTGCCCCGAATCTCCAAGGATCAAGTCAAACTGTTTTTTCCTGAGTCCCTTCCTCCGGGGCGGAGACACAGGGGAGAGGCTTCGGTCACAGCCAACTGCCAGCTAAGGCTGAGTCACTGGCTGGGGCCCTTGTGAAACACACCGGAGACAGGAGGCAGGTGGCTCGAGGGAAGGGGAGATCTTGGCTTCTTCCTAGGGCTCTGCAGAGAGGTGTCTTAGCCCCGGGGGACTGGGAAGGGGGCGCCCTCAGA